CTGGTCGAAGTTCGGCAGTTGTATGTCGCTTAGGAGGAGAGAGCTCCAACAAAATACAATCGACAGGCACTCAGTGATCATCGCAGGTGAGAACACTTAGAAGTGTATTGAAGTTCTTACCCAGTTCAGTACTCACCAGATGCCTATATTCCCTTTACACGATATGAAATGACCAGCACTTGGCCAGGCAAAACAGAATAAAGAGTTGGATCTGACCTTTACAATAGTTGCTTAAGGAGTCAAAAAAAAACCTACCGTTCAGTAACGAGGAAAAGGAGGGAAAAAATCAAGAAGTCTCTCCATTTTCGGTAAGTATGTATGTAAGTATGTGTCTGTGTATCTGTGTGTGATTCGGACCAAACGCCCATGGGGTAAAGCACAGAGTTGCCGAAGAACGATAACAACTATTTTTTAAAAAGGAAAATGAAAATCTCTAGTTCACTGGATGCCCCCTCGAGCCAAAAGTTTTACTCAGGAGACACACCAGAATAGTGTTCATGTAGGTAGAATAAACCAAACAGAAGAGTTATTGTACAATCTCAAATGCACTGCAGAAAATAGCGTCCCCCATTCACGTCATACAATGCCTAATACAGACAGCGATATGGGATGGGCACCCCTTAATGCGCGTGTATGTAAAACGACCCCCCCCCCAAAAAAAAAAAANAAAAAAAAAAAAAACTGGATCGATGTTACACACCAAAGTCATTTGAAATCACCCTGGCACTGGGCTGCCTAAGTTCTTATAATCGAGAGAATCCAACCCCGAACCACTTGCCGATCACCAGTATTTGAAGCAAAGATGTTCCCACCATGCCTCTCTCGCCACACGAAAGCCGTATCCGCTCCACATGAGCGCCGTTCAATCCCCCCAAAAGCGTATATGCAGTGTACACACCCTACGAGTTAAGAGAGTAACTCTTCTTGCATGTCAACACAGAGGCTTTGGCATCTTGGCAATTAACTGTCAGCCACCCATAAATGAAGAAAATAGACCCTGCAGCAAACAAGCTCTATCGATGCCATACCTGAGATGACAGCTCACAATCTTTACCCCGGCACAAAAGAAATGCGGCCGCAACCAATCTTTGATGGCAAGACCACCTTTTACCCCACCAGTGCAGCTGCATGGAAGTAAAGCTTCTCCTTCTCCTCCATATAATGTATCCTTTTTTTTATTTCTGGCTGACAGCACGGATCCCCACATCACCAGATGGCAACGTTGCTGCACGCCAGCCGTACTTCAGCTCTTTCGTAGCGCTCCTATTCAATGCCGTCACAGGATCCACCTTCAAATGAATAAGCAGAACGGTCTTACATGTCTATAAATTTCACATCCTAATTTCAATGTCGGACTTATCACCCTTTCCTCAACTGCAAACTGAGTCAAATGTGGGAAAGCCAACACCCATTTGGCGTAAACGCCGATATCACAGAGAAAAAGGCATTATATAACCCAACGGAAGAATTCAACTTGTACCGCCACACGGAGTATTCCGTACGACCCCCATCAGTCACTGTAAGTATAAACAGGAGAAGTGCACTTTACGAACAAAGAAAACGTACCGTTCTTTGAAAAGGCCATGCTTTTTTTCTTTTTCGAGGGAGTGAAAGCATGCATGAAACACCAATCGCAATTAACGTAACTTCACGCATTTAGACATTAAGTCCTCTCACAAAATTCTTGAGGCCACTTCGTAAGGAGTTGGCTGCCTTATGAACAAGGCCTGAAGAATCACCTTCTGAACCTTGGACAGGATATTCATATGGGGTCAGAATTACATTGGAGCTCTGAAACTTCAGTACAGCTCGCTCCTGGAGCAACCTTGGGACATTAATCGCTCTGCAGAGGTCACGATCGAACTCAATAACAGCTATTTGTTCATTTTCTTGAGGCACACAGCTATCCTCATCCAGTGGAGGAGTCTGCTCAAAAGTCACATGGCCCAACGCCGTAACAAACTCCGTGTGAGACTCCACTTCGTCTTCTGCAACAGTTACGGTAAAACACAAGGCACTGCTCGCAATCGGCGGGTATCCATCATTGCAAAGCATTGGACAAACCATCTCATCCCATGCTCTACGCACGCTCCCCTCCAGTTCAGACGAAGATATGCCTGGAGGAACACCCACTGCTACCAGTGCGCATTTCCAGTGTTCCCACGGCACGGGACGCGTGAGGAAGACCCTGCTCATTGAAGGAAAGTGGATATCCTTGTTTCGGCCAAGGAGAAGTTCAATACTCCTAAACTTTTTCCGGTCTTCAAACACATTTTCAAAACGCCTCTGTGTCGCTATAACCACGTTAGAGGTTGTATATTTAAGCCCACAAATGCCCCGTAAAATGTTACTGTGCATTGCTGCTGAATTTGTATACAGTTGTGCGACAATATCACCATTGTACACAAATAACTCCGACAGGGCACGACCCACAGCCACTGGATACAAGGACGGATTTCGAGCCTCGTACCATGAGCCCACAAATGGTTTAGGAAAAGATGACTTTGCCCCTGCCATGGGAGCTAAGAATGCTGAGAACCCATCACGCTCAAAGTCATCTTGTCCATCCAGTGGTGGCAAAGGTCTTTGATCCACGAAGCTGTTCAACTGAATGCCAAGAGACCCTAACATGAAAACGGATGCTTGGAAGCATGTAAAAAAACACCCCAAGTTTGTTCTGTCTAATGAATCCGCACAATTTATCCGAACGAACTGCCTCTGACAAAGGAGTCTCGAAACACTACCATCGGGGCGCACCGAGCCAACGGTAGCAAGCGCATCACTGCTACTTGGAGCTAAGAATGCAAGAACAGCCTCCCAAAATGTTTTCGTAGCTACATCTATGCCGTAGTCCTTTATAAGATTGAGCCAGTCAACATGAACAAGGTCGAGATGATCCTTGGGGAAAACACGCCGCACCGCAGCATCCGCTTTTCTCACAGCCTCAATGAAATACCTTGCCAAGATGCCCTCACCACTCTGAGGATTCTGCCGAAGGAGATTGATGCATCGCACCTTGGGTATTGCATCAACTGGTGCACCTCCGGTGTCATACTTGATCAGTGCAGTCAACTGACGGAAGAGAGATTCAAAGTACACATCACATCCCTGCAACACCTCCTCCTTGTTTGGGCTAAAGATCATCGACGGCTCTGCGATTGTTGCATTGATTTGTGTAGTCCATTGCACAGGAATTGTCCCTCGAAGAATCGTATGTCTTGCAAAAGAAATGGATCCATCCGCATTTTTTCTCCACATAACATATTCGTATACATGGTCATTACCAACCGCGTTATTCCCATTGAGCCCCCTACCGAGGTACCGAGGTCCAGGGTTGAGATGATTCTGGCGTCCAAGAAGCAGCATACAGAGAACAGATCTATCCTTTATTTCAATATTCTTTCCCTCTGCGTAACCCCGAATGAGAACGGAGCATCCATTGTCGAGACCATTAAGACGAAACGCTTGTCGCAGGTGCTCTGACCAGTCACAATGGAATTCTGGGGAATCACCTGCACGAGATGAAATAAACGGAAACGGTTTCGTCAAATCACAGTCGTCAGAATAGTAGTATCCCTTCTCGTACTTGTACTGTTGAAATTCCCTAAGCCTATTCTTGTCGGTTACCGACATTCGAAGCGGGGCAGCGCCGGGAATATTGAAAGCGATCCACTCCGTTTCTGCAACACGAAGAATTGTCCCTCCGAATGGCAACCCTGCCACCTCCTCTACTCTGGTGGCAACTAAAAAGTACACCTTATCCAGAAGTATACATCCAAACATAGCAGGATACTCCACAATGGATTCAAAAGGGCCACACACGTTGTATGCCTCCTTGAAGCTTGAAAATTTTGTCCTGTCAAAGGCGCGGCACATCTCCACCTCTGCGTTGGCGTTTACTATCAATGGCGAGACAAACCACCCACCCGCCCAGATGTTTGTCACAGCTGTTGTTACTTCAGCACAGCTCTGTGGCTCAGGCAGGGGATCATCGTTGAAGAACATCAAAGGTTCTGGTTCGGCAGGAGCGGGCGGAGGAATGGGTCGTGGAACAGCCAGGAAGATGATTTGTACGCCATTTTTTACACAGATAGAGCAGCGCTTGCGCGGACTTTTTGATGTTTGCATGAAAACCAGTCTCCCTAACGGAAGACAGCTTTTGGAGACATTTTAGAAAGAAAAAAAAAGATGAAAATTAAGAATTGTTGGAAATTTTTCCAAGGAGTATATATCGCAATGTCTTACAGCCTGTAAGTAAATAGCAGAAAACCCAACGCACCCTTTCCTTACAACCCTACGTGGATATAACACACACAGACAGAGACGAAGTGGCAGATAGCACAATTCGGTGTCTCTTTTCTACGCACCAGCCCGCGCATGGTGAACTTGGGTATCCATTCTATCCAACCATGACTTGATTGAAGTCGAATGAGTAATGTCGTCATACACGCGATGGCCCCTAACCGATTGCAGCACGCCATAGGTATCCAAGTCAGCAAGGTCCGGCGCTGAACCCCCGTGGAAGGGCTTTTTACCGTTCAAAAGCGCTTCTTCAAGAAATTTACGGACCTCACTATGGAGACGTTCCCTTGCTTCCTCACCAGGTGAGAGATGTCCACTCTTAATGAGGCGTGGTTTGGTAACATATTGAGCGACGAGATACATCACTGGCGCACCCACAACCTTCAGAAAAAGTTTGTTTTGATACGGAATGGTGTCGATGTCATCGATGTAAGAGTAACCGCACCATGCCTTGTAAAGAGAAGAGTTGAATTCGAGAGTCACAAGACGAACCAATGGGCCACGAGCCCACTCGCGCCAGCGGTTTATTTCAGAATCCTTGAGTTGTTTTTCCATCCCCATTTGTTTGGCAAGATCGTTGACAATAATTTCAGAGTCGACAAGAAATGGACCATTATGTCCGTGCACGTTGAACTGAATCTGGGGCACTTTTTTGTACTCGCACATGGAGATCTCCCTCTTAAACATTGGCTCCACTTCGACGCACTCATGAGGGATATTGTGATAATCGAGGAATGCCTTCACCGTTCCACAAAATGGGCACGTGGAGTAACGATACAAAAGAGTGTGAGGGNTTGTGATAATCGAGGAATGCCTTCACCGTTCCACAAAATGGGCACGTGGAGTAACGATACAAAAGAGTGTGAGGGTGCTCCTTCACATTTCGGATATGTGAAAGAGCCCATTGAAGCTCCTCCTGGTTTTGCTTCGCGTTGAACTCCTCTGCTGTGCAGCTGCGGTTCTCCTTTAGGCGTCGTTGATAAGTGACGTAGCCACCACCCAGAGCCAAGGAACCAACCACTCCTGTTGAGTAGAGGAGTTTTCGTCCCAACGTTCCCCTGCCAAACATTATTAAAGTGTCCCACCTATACAAAAAGGTGTAGATTTAAAGGGAGGGAGGAGAAGACGCAAGCGTATAATAATACTGACGAGTGAAACCAGCACCCTGGCGGTGTCATATATATATATATATATATATATATATATGTATATTGATAGAGAAAAGGCACCACGAACCCACTCTCACCCCAAGCGTTCTCACTAACTTTCTCTCATGTTTCCATGCCGAGCACTGGGGCGAGCAGACGCCAACTCCAGGAGCTGCATCGCCACAGCTTCATCAATCTTTTCACTTCTACCATACCGTTGACGGTATTCGTTGAGCTCCAGCAATTGTGCCTCAACGTCCTCAACAGTGTAGGGGACATGGTAAAAAAGAGACGACACCCGCGAAACGGTCTCCTCAACCGCGCCCAGACGACTTCGGAGAACTCGAAGTTCGTCGTCTCTTACTGCAATTAGGTCATCCTTTTGCCTAAGAAGTTGTTCCGAAACCTTCAAATGCTCCAAGCGATTTTCGATTTCCCCCAGCGTGCGCACCAGACGCGTTGCTTGGGAGTCATGTTTTACCGACTGCAGCAAGTCTACAATGGAGTCATACGCACTACTGGCTCCCGCAGATTCTTTTTGTCGCGTCGAAAGCATGCTCTTCAAAATATCCAGCTGCCTTTTCAGACCGGAAATCTCTGTATCTCGTAGAGAAATGACCGATACAAGGTGTCGATTGTCTTCCACCTGTTCTACCTGGTTTCGAAGCAGACGTATCTCCTCCACCCCTTCAGCAACCGCCAATGACGACCTTCTTGCCGCCTCCTCGGCCTCCACTTTGTGCCTCGTCAATAGCTCAGCACGTTCACTATTCTCCCGCTGTGTGTTCTTGAGTTCTTCCTGTAGGTATTCTACAGCACCAAACAACTTCTCGTTCTCACTTTTCATGACTGATGCATGACGTGCGAGTGAGACTGTCTTCTCTCGCTCCAGTTGAAGGGCTTTCTGTGCCACATTTAGAGCCTCAGTAATCTTCTGTATGTCTTGTTGCGCTGTCACGGACCCTTCACCCACTTCCAGTGCGCGTTGCAACTCCTTTTGGAGCTCCACAACGCGAGCACAACAGTTTTCTTTGTCGACGTCGATGCCATCCAAAGCATTCATGCTGCTAGGGACCGTTGTGCCCATCTCGTACAGTCGTGTCTCCAGCAGAAGCAGTCGGCGACGGAGTTCTGACTCCCGTCTCTGAGAAGCACAATTTGAGGTTAGAAGATCCGCCACTCTGACATCAAACTCTGAGTCACGACATTTAGATTTTAGTCGGTCAGCGAGAAGTCGAAGATCGTTAAGCAAAATCACATTGCGCTCCATCTCTGCAGCATACTTTTCTCGCCAGAACTTTACTTGTTCCACACACTTCTCTGAAAATCGTACGCGTTGGGGTTTCTTATCATCACGCCGCAGCATCACCAGCTGATCACCAAGGCACTTGTTTAGCGTCACAACGTTCGCCGTTGTTCTCTCCCTGTCACCAGATGTTATTGACACGATTTCTAATACTTTCTCCCGATACGCATCCATCATCTCCAGCAGGCAAAGGTTCTTTTTGCGCAAGTACAGAATCTCTTCCTGCATTAAATCACGTCTACAGTCCTCTGAAGCATCTACCCAAAGTACGGCATCTTCGTCTTCTCGGTCCTCCCACACAAGGCACTTGCCTCCGCACAGCGTCCACAGTGTCGCTATTCGCGATGTTCTCGCCGAAAACACAACGGAGCCAGAAACGCCGCGTTCCAGCCCCATTGCGGAATCGATTTTAAATAGGCGCACGGGGGTGAACTTATGCGAGTCCCACACCGTCACTAATGCCTCAGCATCTAATGATACAACACGCGAGAAGGAAGGCGCCGCAAGTTGACGCACCTTCGCACACGGAATCAATCGCTCCTTTTGGAGTGACACAACTCCTTCAGTGGAATTCTCCACAACTCGAAACACGGTTATCCACTCAGCTCCTCCCACCCAGCAGCAGTCAGCAGGTGATGCTCTACCAAGTGAGCCCAGGAAGACAGCCGCAGTGGCATTTTCCACTGGCTCCACGTATATGGGACTGCTATTCCCTGCATTCCACAGGGAGATACGATCCGTTTGAACACACATCCATACATTCTTCAAGTGAATCGGAAACACCTCAATGATATCACCACCTTCACAGGAGAAAGTTTGTCGTACCTCTGTCCGAGCGACATCCCATATGTGAAAGGCACATTTTTGGCTAGTCGCCAAGAACAAAGGGCAACTCCAAAGAATGTGGAAATATTCGATACTTCCTACTTGCGCATCGAGCACGCCAAGAAACACGCCACTGGGTTCACAAATAAGAATCTGACCTTTAAGTGTAAGAAGCCACACTCGTTGCCCAACGCAGCAAATTGAGACGCACACCTCAGGCAAGCTTACAGTGTCAAGTACATCACATCCTCGTGCATCTAGCACGTCAACGTACTCTTCGCACGAGCGCAGTGCCCAAATATTGCCATCCACGCAAGCCAAGCTGCAATAAGTCTCTCCGTGACTCAGAAAGCCCTCTGATCCATCGGCGAGAAGCACTGCTGAGGCTGTCATACAGAGAAGTACGCACTTACACACGTGCTACTAGTGCCATTTGGAATTCAAGAGTGAAGAAAGGGAACCAAAGTAGCAAGAGAACCGTACGGCTCCCGGAACCGGCATGCACCCACCCCCACCCACACCCGCACACCAAGCTAAATGAATATATTACACACCACGCAAGAAACAGGGTCATCATGACGCGTACCGTGTGGACGGCATGCCATCTGCCCATGATTTGGTATGCTTTGGCCAGTGTTCGTCGTCAACACGATTCAGACCTCTGGAATGAGCACGAGGTTCCTTTCGCACCTCCTTCTCGAGGGCAATCTCTCCCAGCGAGCCGTACGGCCGCATGCGCCGCTTAGCGCGACCCTCCATCTTTCGATACTTGCGGCCGTACTCATCCTGATCACCGTGCACGATGGCGTTCACGCGGTTGGCATACACCTTGCGCGAGAGTCGCTTAAAGGGCTTTTCAGGTGCGTCAAGTGTGTGCAACATTTGCAAGATGCTGTTATCCCTGACCCCACTGCCTGCCTTTCGTGTTGCCTTCTGTTCCTCAGCACCCAAGAGAAACGTTCGTTCAGCTTCTTCTTGACTGCGTCGCACACGTGCGCGTGCCAGTTCTTCAGGATCCAAAGGCCACTGGCCCTTTGTGTCCAAGCCATTTTCAACATGCTGAGCAATGAAGGCAATACGTTGACTGTAATCAACCACGCTTGACGGCCACAACTCAAAAGCATCTGGCTTACGCAGTGCAAGCCTCCTGAGCTGTGATGCTCGCTTCTGACGATTTCGTTGAAGCCAATGAAAACGGCGCTTGCCTTGTCTAGCACTGCGCAGTTCAGCCAGAGTTAGTGTCTCCTCCTTAGCCACCTTGTACTCCTTTGCCTTCTTGTGTCTTTCCCACTCCTTCCGTCGCCTATCCAAGGGCATGCGACCGAGGGTCACGCGCAGAGACTCATCCTCCTCTGTCAGTCCGAGGGATCCGTACTTCACACGATCGCGTATGCTGTACGGCAGCGCGTCCACCCATGCCGGGAAGTATGAAGCATCGTCAAGCATGTACGCATCCAGGCGCATGGGAGGGTATATACCGCACTCCTCCACCAGACGTGCCTGGTGTCGTTCAATCGTCTCTGCCTCATCGTCCGCGTGTCTCAACTGTTTGAACAAATGGTGGAACTCTTTTGCTGTTGGCGGCTGCCCAAACTTGTCCATCATATGATCCCGACGCTCAACTTCCCTCTCCATCAGCTGACGGAGCACTGTCGTGTATTCGCTGCCTGGGGGTGATGACATCATCTCCCGCTCGTCAACTGCCCGCACAGCGGCAATCGTCTTATTGTGCAGCGGCGGCGCAGTCCCATTATATAGCTCGCGCTCTATGCATGAGTCGATACCCAACGCACCCATCTCTTTCTTTTGTTGTTCCTCACGGAGAAGTGTCTCCGTCTTCCGCGCAACTCGGCTGACGGCCGTAATATTCGCCTTATTGCGATACACCTCCGGCTCTGTAAACGGGTCGCCACGCTCACGCGAGGTGAGCAGGCCCTTGTTGAAATTGATACCGCCCGACGCCGTGCGCCGCCCGAACGGAACACGATGAAAAGAGGAGTAGCACCACGGACACCTCTTCATATTTCTTCACACTGGTCACACAAGAAAGGGTGCGAAACAGCGAAAAAAAAAAGAATTACCGAATAGGAAACAACAGCAGTCTAAGAATAAAAACACAGCCAGTACATGTGCAGATTTAGGCAATAAAATCCGCAGCAGAATACCTGTCTGACTTGATCAGAGATCACAATGTTATTCTGTTGGGATAGCCCCCGCTTCTCTTTCCTTAATTTCTTTTTTTTTGCTCTTTTGGCGTTCCTGACAAGAAGAGATACCCAAGAAATTACACTGTTCAGGTATTGACACACTTTCTTTACTGACTCAATGCCTTTTGGCGCTTGTAGTTCCAGCTGCGGTAGCAGTTGTACCCATTCACGGAGGCCAGGCAAATATTGACAAGCGCCAGGGAGCGACTTCCGGAGTTCTGCGGCTGGATGAGAAGGGCATACACAAACCATACCATTCCAGTGGCGCACAGGGCGGCACTGGAATTGAAGTCCACCTTCTCCACCGGCGGGTTCCCAACGAAAATGCCATAAAGTGGAACAATACTGAGCGACCACTTGAAGAGGGGAGCACTGTTATAGACAGAGTTCAAGTAGGCCACTGCAGGGTACTTTTCATACGGTTTAAGGCACTCAAACAGCCGGCTGTTTCCGACGTATCGGTGCATCATCTTGGGAAAAGCCTTTGGAATTGCCTGTTGTGCAACGGAGGCGGTGGACATGATGTTAGTTTCCTCTCCTGAGGTTTGAATTTGCACGGAATATGTAGGTATGTCACGTTCTAGTAATGCTAGAAGTATGGAAAGGCAAGACAGCGTATACGTGTCGAGAAACATACCAACATTATATAACAAATGAAATCAAGAATAAGAGAAACTTATACACACGCAACCACACGTACGGTAAGATCCTCCTTCTTCATGACAAGGATGTATCCCCTAACCGCTGGAGAAACAGCCTGTGTTCGAAATCCGAGATGCACTGTTGCGCTTCCCTACTATGCTCGAGTAATTCCCCCCAGGCGATACAATTGTCTTTTTTCTCCTCAGGTGTATGTGCCTGTGCCTCGCGCTCAAGTCTGACGAGACTAGGAATCGTCTTGAGGCGGTGATAGAGTGGTGTGTAATGCGGAGAGCTCTGTGGCAATATGAGCTGAAGGGCGAAAAGAGTTTGTACGAGCGGCAGACACTTGGACGGCTCCATCAACGCCATACGTATGAACGCAAATACCGGCGCCTCAATTAGCTGTGCAAGTCGTTCCAGCTGCAGTAGAGTACCCGCAGACATCTCTGCATTGCCCATAAACTGAATTAATTGGAAAGCATGCTCGTATGCGCGAGACAGTAGGCAAAGCCCAAGCGTCGCTGCTGTGTTGTAATGCCAACACCTATACAGTCCCAGAAACGTGCTGCGGGCGCGCTCATCATTGACGCCGCGGTTTAAAATTTCGCGAAGCGGAAGAAACTCTTTTGAAGTTAATACCATTGTGCTCAGAGTTATGACAACCTTCTCCAAGAAGCGCTTGTCCTCATGAAGTGCTAGCACTGCTGCGAGCTTCAGACACAACTTTTCACACTGCCCCAAATCTTCATCCTGGTACCGCAGTTGGAGTTGCTTGATGATCGTCGGTACCTTCGGCAACAGCACATCAGCTTTCGCATGAAACAAGTCGATAAGGCGGGTAACGAAATAGTCAAAGTGTGTCTCCCCCGATATGAGACACAATGTCTCGATGCACTTATGCACAACATGAGCGGATCGATCGCACAAGAGCATCAAAGAAGAGCTAAAGGTCTCTGTGAAGCGACGCTCCATCACATTAGGGTCTGCGTGATGCACAAGCCCAATCCACTCCAGCGCCGCAACACGCGTCTCTTCTGTACCCTTTTCAGTGAATCGCTCTGTCACGACTCGCAACACGGCATCATACGGCACCTTTTTGCAGCCGCCTTCTTGCGTACCGATAAGCTGCATGAGACTATTGCTGACATTCTGCGCCGCTACACGTGTCTCAAGGCTCTTTGAGCCCAACTGTGACAACGAGGCCCCCACCACCACATGCGTAAGGTGGAGCAACTCGTCCATGTCAATCATCAACAGCTCTAATATCCATTCCAACGCATTCTTCTTGGTTGCAGGAATGTCAACCTCCTCCACACACTCGGCAGCTATAGCGAGCAGATTTGCCAATTGTACATCGGCATTCCGACAGAAGGCATCCTTCGTGTCCCGAAGGCACTTTTGCATCAACCATAACACATCTGAACCGCATCGTGTGCCGGAGAGAATCAGCAGTTGTTTTAGAAAACGCCACAACAGGAGAATAAGTTCATCACCTGGGAGATCGAGTACGTGGTGGATCCACTCGAGGCACCACTGTACCACTGGAGAATCAGGGAGCTGTCCACCGTTTATCGCGCTTATATAGGGCGCCAATATCTCCGTGATAAACGTGACGAAAAGTTCCGTCTGTAAGGCAAAAGGCTCGTTGCCAGTAACAATCTCGCGAAGCAACGACGAAACTTCTCTCGCCAACATCGCAACCCGCATATCGTGGTCATTAATACCACAGGCAACACCTCTCAAAACCTGCATGAAACACACCTCAAGCAACTGAGCCTGCAACTGACGCACAAGCGTATGCGCCGCCTCAAAAGCCGCCAGCCGCACAGTTGCATCCACATCTGCCACACTGTCGAACACAAGAGTAGCCAGAGATATGATGACCTCACTCGAGTGCGTGCGCGCGGGCAAGGAACCTGCAATGGCACGCACGGCGCCTAGGCCTCCTCTGCGGTACGCTGCAGCAGTTGCTCGAATGAGGACCTTCTCCACTTCGCGCAGCTCCTGTATGATTGTGGCGTACGCCTCCTCCGGTGCGGAGTCACGGAACACAGCTGCTACCCTTGATGCCACCTCTCGCCCCCCTTTCTGCCGCGACTCCGCCTTCGAGTCCACCAGCAGCCTCAGTGTCTGTGGCGAAATGAAGGGCTCTAACATCTGCACCAAGAAAAGCTCTATCGCCACTAGAAACGGTCAAAAAGGCAAACATGACGAAAAAAGGCTTCAATATATTTGTTTTCTTAATTCCCCTGTTGCATTTAAAAAGGAAGCAAAACTGTAGCAAATATTCGTACAAATGTCATTATCACTCTTTTGGCTTGTGCTCATGGAGGGGGGAGTCTGCGTGTGTGTGTTTGTGTGTGTGGAGATGCATCGATGTGTCACCTCACGACAGGATTCGGAGGCGGCAACACCCAGTGTAACATACGCATGTGCAACATACCCCCGTACTTTCCCTAAACTTCCGACTGGACGGAAAAAAACTATATATATATATATATATAAGTATATACAATGAGAATAAAAATGACTACCCAACGCGACGGGCAACTTCCGATCCCCTTTGCGTGATACTAAAAATAGCCTAAAGGGTTGACCTCATTCCCATTACAGTTCTTCCCACTTGCCTCGGAACGTACTTGGCGTGCAGTAGCACGGTATTCCCGGCCTGTTGTTATGCTACGCAAAATAGTCTGCAAGAACGCGTCCACAGTGGGTGGGTCCAGCGAATGGGGCATGGGATTACCCCTCCGGTACAGAATCTCTTCAATTAGACTCCACAAACCTTCCTCCGTAGGCTCAATAACATCTTTTGAAGAATGAGCAGTGTACTCAGTCAGCAGAAAGCCCATCACCTGCAGCATCAACTCCATCGTTGACGAGACCTTTTTGCTCTCCAACATCTCCGTCGATCTGTTTAGCCCATCGTTCAAAGAACTTTCTACCACCGCTGAATGAAGTGGCGGCAATCGCACAGTCCGACTGGTCGCACTCGCCCGCTTCTTGGCACTGGAAGGGGGCCACACCATAACAGGTCGGTCGTCCGGCGACTTGGAAAAACCAACGTTGCTGTCGTGTGGTGTCCTGCTGAGACGAGTGTCGCCGTGGGACTCACACTCATTAGACACGCGCTGTGACCCATCAGGGATTGAGCTCTGGCGCGAAATGACAGAACTCGGCACAGAGGACGGCGCAGCGCTCGAGCTGTGCAGCAGCAGACGCCCAAAATCCCTCAGTGCGTCGGCAGGTTTGCCATCGAGCGGAACAAAGCAATTTTCCTCCGCGCTGAAAGCGAAGAGATGTGATCCAGGCGCAACGTGAATTCGCGAGACAGCCAACGATGGCATGGACGACATCGGGTCGACAAGCTGGCGTTCTATCTGCTTGAGCAGGTCCTCCGAGCTGAGAGGGTTGCGCACCTTCAGCCGCATCCGCTGCGGCGCATCATCCTTGATGGAGCTGTGCACCAAGAACTCCTTTGTAAAGAAATCGCCTCGTAGAGCCAACATCCTACTCTCGTTTAAAGGTCCATAGGAGTACAAAAACACAACGGCAATACGAACTACTACGTTACCCACTAAAAAAAAAACAAGCTCCGTTCACCATGCCAATCGCCAAATAACTGCGCGCGAAAACACAAAACAAAACACCTATCGACGCCAATCAATGTAAGAAGCCACCCGCCCATGCACCTAAAGTAGCGAACTAAAATGCTTCAACGCAAAGGGAGAACTCTCCAATGACGGTCTAGACGGATCGACAAACTTGGAAAAATCTATTGAAGAGCATTCTAGATCCGTCACCATATTAGTCGTAACGCTACCATTCGAGTGACAAAAAGAGCTATACTCATCAACAGCGCAACGAAGCTTCATACGCCAGCAGCAAAAATGGTCCTTTCCATTAAAAGACGAAGTCTCTGCAGCATGTGTCCCACGCAATAAAGAACAAGGACGTGCGCAATTCTGGGAGGGAGAAACATCACACGTATCAACCTTTGCCTCGGCTGCGTGTTTCTCCGCCTCGGCTGCCCGCTCCTTCACCTCCGCCAGCTCTGTCCGCAGCGACTCGCACACCTGGCCGATGCGTCTATTCTCNCTGCCCGCTCCTTCACCTCCGCCAGCTCTGTCCGCAGCGACTCGCACACCTGGCCGATGCGTCTATTCTCGGCACGAAGCTCAGCAGCAACGCTCTCCGCAGCAGCCAGTTCCCGTCCTGCGCAATCACGCTGCTCCGCGTCACGCAAAGCAGTGGCATCAAGCTCCTGCTGCAGCTGACGGCAGCGCGACCGCAGCACCTCCGCCCCGGCTGCGTGTTTCTCCGCCTCGGCTGCCCGCTCCTTCACCTCCGCCAGCTCTGTCCGCAGCGACTCGCACACCTGGCCGATGCGTCTATTCTCGGCACGAAGCTCAGCAGCAACGCTCTCCGCAGCAGCCAGTTCCCGTCCTGCGCAATCACGCTGCTCCGCGTCACGCAAAGCAGTGGCATCAAGCTCCTGCTGCAGCTGACGGCAGCGCGACCGCAGCACCTCCGCCCCGGCTGCGTGTTTCTCCGCATCGTCTGCCCGCTCCTTCACCTCCGCCAGCTCTGTCCGCAGCGACTCGCACACCTGGCCGATGCGTCTATTCTCATCATAGGATGCAGTGCTGTGCGCAATCAACTCATGCAGGTTCGCGCCGTTTTGTGTTTTTATGCTCTTTTCCTTTTCTATGGGTGGCTCATCTATGTGATGATTGGCTGCGTTATTGGTCTGTGTTGTTGATATGAACTGCTTTGTATTGTTTTTGTAACTCTGAACCGAGGTTGCAAGCTTCGCGTGTGTTAGCTTCTCGGATAATGCGCATAGTTCTGCGCATGCCTCGTCTCTTTCGCGCTCTGTGGCTTCCAGCTCTTTCTGTAGGGATTCGGAATAGCCTGTCCAGTATTCGTTGAGGGCGCACAGTTTTCGCTCGTACGCGTCGTCGTTAATGAGAGTCTTTCCCGTCGAAGTCTTCTGACGGTAGTGCTCACAGTCGTTATGCGCTGTCTCGAGTGCGTCGCGGAGACGGCGCAGTGTGACATCATACTCCTGCGCCGCATGAACGAGTTTTGCTTGTAGCTGCTCCACCTCTTGCGACACTTCATGAAGCCGAGCCTCTTTTTCGATGCAGGCGTGGCACTCGCTTGTAGAAGGCAGGGCAAGGCGGCGCAGCTGCTCTTCCAGCATGTGCACACGGCTGGCGAGCCAGTTCTGCACCTCCACGAGTTGCGTCATCGGGTCAATACTTTTGCGCGACTCTGCCTGCTGCACAATAGACATCGCCCTCACACCAAACGCCAGAGCAATTCGGGTGTCCGTCATCGATTTGGCGGTGGGCGACACACAGAGCAGGACATAACTGCTTCCACCTCTTCCCAACGGCTCCTGGAGCAGGCGTGTAAGCTTACTGTCACGAAATGGCACATGCATTTTTTTAGGGTCCGCCAACGCATTCATCACACCACAGAGTGCTGACAACGACTGATTAATCGTTATCGTCTCCACCTGACGGATACCCTCATTGCCAGACTCCTTGAGCCGTTCACTCCCCGCAAGGTCTACGAAGTAGATGCGTCCGTCAGTCACCAGCGACGTAGTAGTAGTAGTAGTAGTAGTATCATTGTGGATTTCACTCGCCTCAGCAATTTCTGCCTGAAGCCGTCGACGCCGCCTAACCTTCAATGTGACCACGCAGTGGCCACGGGTGCTGGATGAGTTGAGACGTGTCGCCGCGCACGACCGTGACGCCGCGGCTTTCTTCCACACCCGGGTGAAGTCCTCCAGTGAACGAATCGGCACTTCCGTCGCTCCACGGACGTATACACCAGTGTCAGGGAACTCTCTCAGTTGTAAATCACTTTTGGAGGGATCAATGAGGTCCGACACACGNTCAAGGTACAGCTCGACGCATTCCATGGCAACTGTTGTCTCGTATGTTAGCCTCTCCGAGTCCGCCACCTGCAGAAGCATCCGCAAGGCAACTGGCAACAGTTGATTCATGGTGAACGTTTTGCCCCCACCCGTCGGGCCGTACAGCAGCAGCGCGTCCTGGTATCCCTTCAGCGCCTCACGCACCATTCCCACCATCAGTGTGTCACAGATGCGCTGCAGTGGCGTTTCCGCACCAAAGACGCCGTCGAAGCGGTAAGTGTCGTGCAACCCCACAAGAATACGCTGTCCATCGGCATCGGCCACGACGCAGCTCTTCTCCTGGGCCGCAGTCTCGTGGTCGAGGGGAGGTCGCACGCGAACAAAGCAGTGAACACGCCGGAGGGGCATGGTTCATGCAGGCACACCTCGCCACTTTGTGTTGGTCAAACAGTTTATGAGAAGAGGAAAAGAGAGAGAAATAAACGAACGGAACGAGGCAAAAAAAAGGGATAGAGTAGACAGGTCCAATTGAAAATGAGCGTAGCCCTGGAAAAATGAATTTAACTATACACGCATACACATCCGCCATCTGAACAGCGTTGTCGAACACGCCTCTAGCGCAGGTCAGCCAGCGGGTACTCGAGCTGCGCAAGCAGCTCCCACATGAGCGGCGAGAGGGATGGCTTCGAAGGTGGCCCGTCAATCGGCAGTGTTAACACGCTGCCGTGTTCTTCCCGCCCCTTTGCATCTGCGTGGTATTTTATGGCACGCACGGCAGAAAACGGCGATGTGATAATGTTGGTGGTGTCACAACGGTAGCGCTCCCAATCATCATCGTCAATCGCCCGCAGGACAAAGAAGTCCTCCATCTTGTTTAGCACAATGAGTTGCTGGTTATACACCACAGAAGCCATCAGCTCCAGAGGCCAATGCTGCAAACAAAACTTCATTGGACGAGTCTCGAAGGATGTCAATGATATCGCCATTGCATCTTGCTGCAAGACGAGATCGAGGCACGCCTCATCTACAGATATTCCGCCAAGCACGTGCAACTTGTCCCCGCAAATATGAGACTGGTGCAACACGCGACCGGGCACACGACTTCCCGCGCGGTAGCATTCCATCGTTCTCCAGTTGAGAAACCACATGTAGTTGTTCACGGCAACGGCTGGTATCTGTTCGCCATGTTCAGATACCTCCAGTGTTGTTTCGAATCCACCGAATATAACAATGGCATCGTCATTCACCACGTGCGCACTGTGGCCCCACAGACACGGAAACAGTGTCTGTGAAAAGGTGCGCCAGAGTCCTGCCGTGACATCGAAAACGAGCACCGCGTAAAAGCCGCCTGCCATCATCTCCCGCATTTCGTACGAGGTCACTTCATCCCGCCGTGGCTTACCACCCATAACGATAAGCGCACTGTCACTCACTGCTGTCATGGTGTGGTGAGAACGCACCCGCGGCTTCCAGGCGCACAGCACCCGTTCCCACCGCAGCTCAGCCAGGTCGACAACGAAGAGGTCCAGCAAGTCGTGCTGGAGGGAGGCCGGCGCGATGCACGACGCGTCGAGGCGCGGCGACTCCCCACCGCAGACGTACAGTCGTGATCCGCACAGCGCGGTGGCGTGGAAGCGCGTTGGCGGCGGAAACACACCTGTACACGGCCCCTCGTTCCATACAAACGACGATAAATTCAGCCACCACAGCCTGTCTGTGAAGAGGCCACTGAAGAGCAGCAAACTATCATGATATACGTGTGCGCTGAAACTGTTTGAGACAGCCTCTGCCTGAGTCATACCTCGCTCCTCGTCCTGGCTTCTCACACCCCCACCAGTCCCCACCTGTCACCCTTCTTGAATGAATTTGAAAGGAGAGTAGAAGGCCGAAAAAAACAAAAGGCACAAGAAATACAGAGAGGAAAGAAAGAAAGCATCCAAGAGAACATCATTTTCGTTTATACAATGATAAGCTCTTGTTGATTTACCATGCTGATGCTCTTCTGGTACACCCCGGGGGAACAACGTCAAAGCCCGCGCAGAGCGGTGCAGCCACCCATTTGCCTGCACCGCTCGGCAATCGAAGTTTTGAACATAAAAATGCGTTCTCTACAATTCTTCTGAAACATCTTTTCCTCGCGTCCACCTTCACTTTCAGTGCCACACCCGTTTCTTTGACATTCTCATTTCACCCAACTCCCCATGCAGAGGATGAAAAGGTGTGAGTGGGTAAGTGGGCGAGTAAGAAGGTGAGGGGGCGGAGCTTTCATTACACTGAGGTTTACGCTGGTAAAGAAGGCATAAAACTACGACAAACAAGACCAAAATACAAAGAAACACAATCGATCACACATACACAGAGTAGAGACAACAGATATATCCTACAAACGTGTGTGGTGGCAACGAGAAAATATCGATGCCGTACAGGGAAAGGATGATTTGATTGATGCAGAAAAAAATGGCCCCGGTTCACACAGATCCGAAGAGCGGTGCCCTCAGACTTGACGAGACACGCAGACGAAAATAAAAGAAGCAGAGCTGGGAGTGGGCATGAATATCGCGACAGTCGCACATTTTCCTGTATTGTATTGTTGTTATTGTGCACGTTCCCGGTTACTTCTCTCACTTCAAATGTTGTTGCATTCTTATTATTTCCCTTCTTTTTTTTTTTTTTGATTGAGACAGCCGCTTTCATATATTTTTTCTCTTCAGAGCGTTCGTATTTGCATTCGTTTTCTTTCTTTCTTTGGTTGTTGGTTTTTTTTCCTCTTTTTTTTCGTTTTCTGGCTGTACTCTGTTGCTCATTATTGCGCGCGAGCCTTTGTTCATGTCTATCTTCTTTCCACGCCTGTCGTTGCGCCCCGTTCGTCTTGCACTATTGTTTTCTCACCGTCCCTTCGCGAGTGGACCGCTGCCGTTTTGCCGCATTCCTACCAGACGGGTGGAGTCCGCGCTGGGCGCCCCTTCGTCACTCTCATTTTGACTCGCCTTCGACGCACTCGCGCCGCGCCTCAATCATGCGAGATGTAGTGGCTTGGGGGGCGCCCGCTGCCCCGCGACGACTCCCGCGAGCGGCGCTCCAACTCTCTTATGGAGTCCGTGCGGTTGCGGAAACTCTCGCGCTTCTCCAGCGGGATGTGGTCCTCGTTCGTGGCGTTTGAGGTGGGGTACCACGGCTGCCGCACCGACGGCATCTTGCGCGAGGCCAGCTTCTCAACGTAGGACTCGTCGGTGTCTTGGCCGAGCGGCGACAGACCGTGATGGCGCCGGGTGCCGTCACTTTGGCTGCGTTCCTGTGTGGTGTCCGAGCGCGAGCGGGAAGGAGGGGCGTACGCGGGCGACGAGCCACGGCCCTTGCTGCCGTCAGTCGTCGACGTACCGCGGCCGTCGCTGGAATCAGGCTCGCGTATTAGGGCACGCGGGGGCTTGCGCTCACTCCCTACGCCGGGTGCTGGCGCCTCACTTTCCTGTTGAGGCCGTCCCGCCAGCTCCATCTCTCGGGCGCGCTCCATCTCCTTCTGGTGCTGCTTCAGTTCATCGTCATCCCAGTGCGGCTGCCGAATATCCCTGTCCTGCTGCTGTGGTTCCACTTTTTCCTGAGGATAGTCCTCTGGCTCATCATGCTGCTTGCTGGCGGAATCCTCTGCACCCTCTTCATCCGCAACATCGTCGGGTAGCTCCTCCTGAGACAACTCATGCTCATCGACGCGTCTCTCCGGCTCCATCACACCCACTTCGGGATCGTACTCCGGCTCATTCTCCCTTTCTGCCTCTTCTCTCGCCTCTTGTGCAGCCTCTTTCATCTGCTCGTCCTTCTTCTTCGGCTGCTCTTCCTTCTTCTTTGGCTGCTCTTCCTTCTTCTTTGGCTGCTCTTCCTTCTTCTTCGGCTGCTCTTCCTTCTTCTTCGGCTGCTCTTCCTTCTTCTTCGGCTGCTCGTCCTTCTTCTTCGGCTGCTCGTCCTTCTTCTTCGGCTGCTCGTCCTTCTTCTTTGGCTGCTCATCCTTCTTCTTCGGCTGCTCATCCTTCTTCTTCGGCTGCTCGGCCTTCTTCTTCGGATGCTCATCCTTCTTCTTCGGCTGCTCGTCCTTCTTCTTCTGTTGTTTTTCGTCGTTTTGCTTCTTTGACGGAGACTGCTGGTTCATCTCATCGGCAGCCTCAGGTACACTGTCAGCGGGCCCTGCTTCTTCGTAGTTATCCGCTTCCTTCTCTACATCGCTGTGCTCGCCATCTTGTTCCCTGGTGAGATTATCCGCCTCATCGGGGCATTCTTCATGATCAGCCTCATTGCGCACATCTTGGTCAACTACTTCGTCCACTTCTTCCCGTTCTTCCTCTTCAGCTGCATTGTTGCTCCTTTCGTCACAACGCTCGGATACATGATCCTCGCGTTCAATCTCCTCTTTCTCGGCGCCCTCGTCTTTGTTGCCGTACTCCTTTTCTGAACCATTTGGGTATTTCTCTTCATTTTTTTTTTCAGAATCACGACTAATGCTCCTCTTCTCAGGACTGTTGTCCTTTTGGGGGCTCTCACTCTTGTAAGGACTGGCACTCTTCTCGGAGACACGTTCCCTATTAGGACTGCGGTTCTTGTTGGGGCTGGCACTCTTCTCGGAGGCGCGTTCCCTATTAGGACTGCGGTTCTTGTTGGGGCTGGCACTCTTTTCGGAGTCGCGTTCCCTATTAGGACTGCGGTTCTTGTTGGGGCTCTGGCTCTTGTTGGGGCTGGCACCCTTTTCGGAGGTGCGTCCCCTATTAGGGCTGCCACTGTTACTCTTATTGGGGCTGTGGTTGGCGTTCTCAACCTCGTCGTCGTCATTGCCATTAGCGTCCCCATTGGTCGTCTTGGCAGCGCCCTCCTCGCTGGAGCGTACGCGCTTGTATGTCACAACAATCTCACCCTGCTGGATGCTGTCATCGAACGGATCGTGCATCTTCACGACGACGTAGCCGTGGTCGTCCTCGAGCTGGAAGGAGCCACTGCTAATGGTCTGCTTGTCCTCGAGGACGTGTACATCAATGGATGTCTGACCACCGTCGACCTCAATGAATCGCACCTCCTGGTTCCACGTAACAAGGTGCGTCAGGCCATCATCTTCCAGCTCATTTGACGCAACGAAGGTTGATCCTTCCATGTCGCCTGCGAAGACGGACACTTGCGCCTGGGCCAGTGGTTCACCATTTCGGTTCGTCAGGTTTAGTCCGCGAGCCACAGTGACGAAAAGTGACTCATTTGGTCCCTCCCGTTGTTGCATCGCCTCACGCTCAGCAGGGCTCATCGCGGCGATACGTGCCTCCTCCAGTGCCTTTTCCACCTCCGCATGTGGCATGAGGCGCCACTCGAGTGATATCTCGCCCCACAGCACATCCTCCTTCACCTTGGACTCTACCAGAAGTACTGCGGAGCCCTTGTTGTACAGCGTCTCGAAGTCAAGCGGGACTGCACCAACAACGAGGAGCTCCTCATCCTCCTCGTTGGCGTCATCGCTCTTGGGAACACACACGAGAACGTGCCCGAGTTTCTTTGCCGTGATGAGTTGCATAATCTGGCCACGGTTTNGCGTCATCGCTCTTGGGAACACACACGAGAACGTGCCCGAGTTTCTTTGCCGTGATGAGTTGCATAATCTGGCCACGGTTTTCGGGGAGATAATTAAATCCGTCTTTTGTGTAGTACGGTGAAGTGGACATGGCACCCTCGCCGGCCGGTAGGTAAAGCGTGGACTCGGAGCAGTTGTCGTCTGTGTCACGCAACACGCACAGAACACCACCAGAAAAGGGCACTGTGCCGTTGTCAGTGTACTGGAACACACGGCGAACGACAAAACCACAGTCGACGGGTCCCTCAAGATGTTTCTTTCCGTCAACAGCCTCATCCGCCTCCTGCCCCTCCTGCTTCACGTACCACGACACAACGATGGATCCCATCGGCGTCTCCTTGACACGGCCGTACATGCGGTGCATCTCGCCTTCGGCGCACACCGGCAGCACCTCCTCGTCACCCCGTGCACGGTTACGCAGTGCGTGTGGCGGCACAACAACGCCACCGAAGACGTGGTCCTGCGAGGCAGGGAGGGAGTCGTCGATGACGAGCACCTCAAGCGGCTCCTCTTCGTTCGGGTACGGGAACTCGAAGAGCTCCTCCCATGTGCAAATGGCACCCTTGCCCCGCGGCACCTTTGCCGTCTGCCCTTCAAACGCACCGCAGCGCACAAGTACGGAGACAGGGTCGCGGGGGTCGACGTTGATGGTCTTCCCGTGGTGTACCGTGACGATGAGACGCGTGTTGTTGGCTCCAGGCCGCACCTTCCGCAGCTCTTCAAGCGTCATGGGTGGCGGCGGTACCGCCGGCTGGTCGAGCTGATTATCTTCAGGCTCGCGTTGGAGGGTGGTGGGGCGCGGACGGGGGGCGCCACTGCTGAGTGGCTTCGCGCGCTCCTCAAATACATCCAGCTGCAGCAGCCGGCGCCGCTCCAGCTCCTTCTCCTCCTTCGCGGTGCGGAGTAGATGGTCACGGTCGTGGGTGGGGTTTATCGCGCGGCAGCACGGGCAGACGTACACCTGCGGCATCTGGTCGTACGAGCCGGCGGGCGGGAAGCCCTCACGGCGTATGAGCGACGTCGCAGTGTCGTCCTCGTGCGGGAGAGCCTCACCGAAGATTGACATTTATGTGCGTGCTGTGCGTTCGGATACCTTGTATTTACTTCTTTTTTTTTTTTTTGCTTCCTTTGGGTTCAAAGCGGTCACACACTATTTTCACTTAATACAGAATGAACAAAGAAGTCTTGTTTGGCTTTCCTTTTTCTTTCTTTCCTCCGCGGTTCCTTCTGATTTTTTTTTTGTTGAATACCTTCTCACTTTTTAGTATTTGAAGCGTTCTCGAGCCGAAAAGCGGTTACTCTCCTTGCCGTGGGTGCAGCAGTGGACAAAAATAACCAAACAAAAAGAAGCAACCAAAGGATAGAGAAGGAAGGAAAATGACAGAGGAAACTTATAACATGTGTCCAGCAAACACCTCACCACACTAGTGTGGCGGCCCATAACGAAAGAGGCAGCTCAACACTGGTTCAACATCAAAGTGAGAAGCCGAGAACTAGAGGCTCTATTCCAGTTGTGCCCAATTCACTCATTTGCTTCTTTACTCCGTTCTCGTTGTTGTCTCTTCTCCGCTCCCCCCTCACTTCCTTCAGCTGTGTACATCTACATGCATCATAGCGCCCCGATGCGCGTATGTGCGTTCTTCATTCTGTAGATACATCTCTGGTGTGCCGCATTATCCCTCCACCATTCTCTCTCTCTCTCTCTCCCTCTTGCACGAGCAAAGAAGCAAAAAGACAAAAACACATACACAACCTGAAATCGGAAAAAAAAAAACAACCAAGCAGCAACCGCAACACGGTGGAGGAGTGGATAGGCCATCTGCGTCGCTGAGTCTATTTCCTCACGCCGTTTCAGCGGCAGCTGGGACATAGACATGTCCGCCTTTGCTGCGCAGCATGGCAACCTCTGCGTTGAGCGCGTCAATCTCCTCCTGTTGCGCGGTGATTAGCAGCTGCAGGTTGTGGCGGTCCTCGGCGGTGGCCACGTTGGAGCCGTCGTACATACGACTCACCACCTTCTGCGTCGCCTGCGAGAGCGACCGCTCCACATCCTGCCGGTCATTCTCCTGGTCGCCAAGATCGTGCAGTAGGTGGGTATTGTGCACCAGACTCCCCTGCAGCTTGTTGCGCAGCGCGATGATTTTGCTTTCGCGCTTACGTATTTCCTTCTCCCACGCGAACTCCTCGATGCGCAGGCGCTCCTTCAGCTCCTCCACCTCCCTGCAGCCGCTCGTCGACTCCAGAAGCTCTAGGTTTACAATCTGGCCGAACTTCAGCAGCATTGCTTCGTATATCTTCTCTTCCCACTGTGCGTGGAGGGCCTGCTTCGCCGCCCGTCCGCGCTGCAGCTGCTGCAGCTCGCCCGCCATGCCGCGCAGCGTCATATGTCGGTCGCGTTTCTCCTCCGCCATTGTCGCAATGCGGCGGTGCAGACCCGAGACAATGAGATCCGACACCACCACGAGATCGTCGCGACGGAACGTGTCAGGGCACTTCTCCTCCTCGTCAAGGCACTTCACCTGACTGCAGCGCAGCGTGACGAGTGTCTCAAGCGTGTTCAGCTGCTTGCGCTTCTCACTCTGAAAGTCTTCAATTGCCTTGAGGCACATCGTCACAGCGGCGTTGTGCTGCTCTGCAAGGGCGACGTGCTCGTCAATACGAGCCTGCATCACTTCCTGCTGCCGCCGCACTTCTGCAATGGCGTCAGCGTAGTCAAGCCGCGTCTCACGCTTCGCCAGCACTTCGCACCAGTTGTCCTCCGAGCAGTGCGGCGGGCAAACCTCCTCCCAGAGGTCGTCGCCAACTTCCTCCTCATCGTCGTCGTCGTCGCTGGTGATGTCGTCGTCGTCGTCGGTCATGTCTCCCTGGTGTTTGCGCCGTTTGATCTGCCTTAGAAAGACCTTCATGATGTACGGCACGTGTTCAGCAGGGAAGTTCGCCTCAACGAAGTACTCGACTTCATGACGAAATGCCTTGTTGGTGTCCTGCAACTTTTCAATCATTCCCGCCTGCTCCCGCACGCCGCGCCGCAGATCCTCCATCTCTTGCTGGCGCTTGTCACGCAAACTCTTCGCATCCTCGTACTGCAAACGCAACTCCCGGTCCTTCTTCCGGAATACCAGCAGGATCTGGTACTCCTGGAAAAGCAGTAGCGAGCGGGTGTGGGCAAGGCAAAGATCCGCGTCCACCCGTGCCCGCTCCTCATACATCTCCCACAGGCGGCTGTCGAATTCGTTCATGATGGCACGCACTCGTGCCTGCAGGCGGCGCCGCTCAGCAAGGAGTCGCTCACGCTCCATCTGCTGCTCCTCCTCCTCCGCTTCAGTGAGCTTCACGTTCTCAAGTTTAACGCGAAGTTCATAGTCCATGCGCTCTCGCACAGCCGCAGCAGCAAGGAATGCGGTGCTGTAAGCTCGCGACATCTTGGGCGCCGACGACGATGTGCGCGGGTTCTTTAGGCGACGCAAGACACTTGCACGGTTTTCAGCTAAAGATAAGTGGCTGGGTGTGCGCTTGCTGCTCCCTTCGGTATCACTGGGCGGCGCACCGGTTGTGGTGACGCTCGCACCAGTTGTATGGTTTGCTGCGAGATCGGCGCCAAAGCCACGCTGTGCCTTCTTTGCCATCTCCTCACGTGCCTTCTCATCCTGCCGTTGTTTCGAAAAGGAATCTAGACCTTCACGGTCAATGGCAAACCGCTGCTCAGGCATTTCCTGCGATGTCAGGCAAACATCAGCCGAAGGTTCGCTTTCATCCTTCAGAGACTCATTAATGTCACGTATGCGGCGCAGCAGTTGGTTGAGTGATTCGCACAGCTCCCTCTTCTCATTCCGCATCTCGAACAATTTCTTGGTGAAGCCACTGCGCAGTTCGACAAGCAACCACTCGAGCTTGATCAGCTGGCGCAACTTCTCTACTGCTGAGGGCTTTGATTGATACAGTGGGTCAGTGCGCAGCACACACTCACCACGTCGCGCAACCTCACACTTTATCTCCTCCTCCACCCGCGCCGCCTCCACCGCCGGGTCAGGCTTGTGTGCTAGTAATATCTCATAGCCCTTCTTACGGCGCCACCGCTCCTCACGGCGCTCATCCATCTTATCAAGGTACTGCCGCATCGTTGATGTCAGCATCTCACCCCCCTGTCGTGACTGCTTGAGCCGCAGCTGCTGATGCTTCTCCTCTTCAGCGGCCAGCCACTGCATAATACCTGCAGCAGTAGACAGTGATGGATCACCTGCCCCGTCAGCGCCCATTGCATTTTGTGTATGCCTCTTATTTTCTTCACCATCACTGTCGTGTACTCCGTCAGCATTCGCCCCCCCGTCAGAGGAGTGAAGTTCTTCAATCTCCAACTCAAGGCGACGGACCGCTTCAGCGGGATCAGGTGTGCGGAACGAGGCGACAGCAAACTCCTGTGAGAAGCTGCACACAAGGAAGCGATCGTAGAGAAGGTTATCAACAAAGCGGCGGCGCATCTTCAATGTACGCATATTCTCACGTGCCAGCTCGAGTGCATTTCCTTTTCGTGACTCCTGTACACGTCGCTTCTTCTCTTCCTTTAACTCCTGCAAAATCTGTGGGTGCAATGCAAGCTCCTCATCGGAGAGACGGATGCCGGTGGGAGTGGCATTATTTTCCTCCAGGAGCTCAGCGTATTTTGCATGCACAACACTCAGCTTCGCGAGGAATGCGTCCAGCTCACGCTGCTTGGCCTCCTCCGCGCGGCGGCGGTCGTCCACCTCCTTCTGTTCACTGATCGACAGGGGAATTGGCTTCGGTGCCACGATCTCCTCCGCACTCAATAAGGAGCTGGCCTCGATGAACTTCACAGGTTTCGGGGGGTTGCAACCGTTGAGCACCTGCGCCACAACAAGACCGTCGGAACCGACAGACACCATCATGGTATCGTCAAACGAAGTGCATGCAGCCGCAATAATACCGTCTAGTCGATCATGCGCAGAGGCCGCCAACAAACATTTTTGTGACAAAGCACCAGATGCCTCAAAAGACCGCAAAAGCATCTGCGCCCCATCACACAGAATCACCATGTACCGTTCCGATGTGCTAATGTAAACTCTCTGTGGTATGCAGTCCCGGTAGCATAAGTTTATAATCGGCTCTTCAACGTAGTCGGGTGGCTCGATACCGGTGGCAGGCAGAGGCGGCAGCTCTGTGCGGTTATCGTAGCGGATGCGGGTGGTGTACTGGTACAGTAGCTCTGCTGCACCGGCGCCGATTGCAAATGTGCCATCGGGCAGTGGGCAGATGAGGCGCACCGGCCAGGGCCCGACGTCTTCCTCCTCCTCCTCCTCGTCCAGTGCCTCCTCCTCCCGCTCTGCAGCCACCGCGCTGACAGCCTTCTCCACTTTCTTGCGTTGGCGTAAACCGACGAGGGCATATTTGCAGGTGAACTCGAATGAGACGCTGTGATTCACCGCTTCCATCAACGGAGCAGTTATGGCGAGAACTCTGCCGCACTCGTGCCCAATCAAGCAGCATGAGGTGTCATCGTCCCAAGCGGCGCACGCAACATCCGGAAGCGGGAGCCGACAAAAACCAATGGGATGCAGTGTCGACAGGTCTGGTTCGATGTCGAAGAAGAACGCTGTACCCAAAGTTGAGACAGTGCAGAGACGGCGCTCAGCACGATCAATCGCACACGATTTAAGTCCATCACGGTGGGGTCGCCACTGCCCCAGCAGCGTAAAGGCCGTTTTGCCACGCTGAAGCAGCCGCACGGTACCATTCAAACAGCATGCAATGAACTTCATCCCACTCGCATCGGTTCGAAGGAACTGGAGTGCCACCACAGTATTCGGCAAGGGCAGGCGAAGATTATAAATTTCACGCGATGAGACGTAATCAATGAGGCGAATGGAGCCATCCTCACCGCCTGTCACGACGGTGTGGTCGCATGGGGACATTGCAGCACTTGTGATGCCACCTCCATTGAACCGAAGCGCCGCCATGGCTGGTTTGACGGCAGACTGCGATGTAGCTGCGAGAATTTCGTCTGGTTGTAGGAACGGCACTCGCCACAGCACCCCAGTGCTATCGAGCACCGTCCACTCTCCCACATCGGGGCAGTGCGTCACGGCGCGGATGTGTGCGTTGGCGTCAACAAGCACCTCGCACAGACACTCTGGCGCGTACAGTGGCGGCAGGCCTTCGCCCTCCGCCGCCTCCAACTCGCTGACACGCCAGTAGCGCATATACCCATCGTCGCCAGCGGTAAGTACAACACGGCCGTTACCAAGCAGCATCACCACGTTGATCGCTCCTGTGTGACAGGGGGTGTAGTCGTAGCTCTGCACCGCCAGCGCAGTTGGTCCATCCTCTTCCGCCCCTTTCAGCACAGTGCGTGCAAAGCAGCAGCGCACGAGGTCACCCTCCCACAGCAGAATGAGACCACTTTCGGAGCCTGACAGCACCTTCCCGTCCGGCAGCACGACGAAGCCGGGCACGTTGCTGATCTCCAACCGCCCGAATTTGCCCAGAAGTCCCTGCAGCTTCAGGCCCGTAAAGGTCTTCGCCATTGTCCAAAACTTGATGTGTCCAGCCCCGCCCGTCACAAAGACGCCGCTGTCAAATGGACTGAACAACACAGAAAAGACGTCAGCGCCGTGACATTTGTTACGCAGAATCATTCCCCGCGACTTCCAGTCCCACACCGCCAACGAAAAGTCCGGGTACATGCTCACCGTCGCCATTTTGCTGCCGTCAGTGTTGAAGCAGCACGCGCTGAATCCCTTTAAAGCACCACCAACGAACACACCAACTTCTGCACGCGACGGCCACGCGTGGGCGCGAATGAGTGGATCCTTCGCTGCCTTTTCGCACACAACGTAATATCGTCGAGTGGGATGCACTGCGACGGCGCCAACGCCCCCATTCACGGGGCCTGGCGATGGCTCTATCATGCCGCTCTGCATATCCACAAACAAGACGAATCTACCGGAACACATGAGAATTACTGAACCAGTGAGGGCACAGACGCCGTTGTATCGCGTGGAATCAATGCCATGGAGCGAGAAGAAGCGGGTGCCGACTTTCGCCTCTTGATACACGTGCAGGGGCGGCTTCGCCTTAGCCGCCTCCTTTGGCGCCGCCATTCCAGCGAAGAGTTGCTACTAGACACTGTTCACACAAACAAGAAAAACAAACGCGACACAAAAAAAGGCAGAGAGAGAGAGAGAGAGAGAGAAAAAAAATAAGAGAAGAGTGGGGAAAAACAAGGAACGCAAGAACGGAGAAAATAACAAGAAACCGAAAAAAAAACCTCACGTCTCGGTACTAAAAAAATGTGGAAACGAGCGCATATCGCTCCCATAATTTACACCATACGCACCCCGTCCGGTCGCTTCACCGCGACTCTTAAGGACCGCCGAGTGCCCGCGCCGCTAGCGAAGACCAAGACGCACCTTCAGCTCCGCAAGCGTGATGACCGGGTGTACGCCTTCCGCTTTCACCTCCTCGGCGATGTGCGGCTCGGCCGTGATGAACGCAACCTTTGTGTGCCCCATGCGGCGCATCTCGTGAAACAATTGAACGCCCGGTTTTTCTCGTTGTGGCTGCTGCTGGTGCGAGCCGGTGGCGGTGGTCGTCACCAGCCGCACCGCAAGGGAAAAAGGGAGTGGCACAAACCAGCTGTGCTGCATCAGCCACAGAGACAGCATCTGCCGCGCGTCATTCGTCAGCTGCTTCGCAGCGTACACATCGAAGTGGACAAGGACGACAGCTCCCGTCTTTGCCGCATATTCATTCATCATTTTTACGAACGCTTCTGCTAGGGTTACGTTTTTAGCTAGAGAACCCACGGCACTTCCATCCACGACCATGCCATAAACCTGAGGTGTTGCGAACAGGCCTGACAGGGCGCGTTCCACCGTGCAGCCGCAACCATTGCTGTTGTTGGTGTCAGTCGTATCACCGCCATCACGCAACGTAAAGAGCGACGCAAGCGGTCGCGTTTGCAGCGAGGCACAGAAAGCATCGAGAGGAACTCCAGCGGGGCGCAGAGCGTAGTATAGTGCCTCAAGATTGAATGGCTCCAGCGCAACCGATCCTGTCGTCGACGGGTGGCTACTGAAGAGTTGCAGCGGGGGTCGCATTGCCAGTGCCAGAGAACAGATAAATGCATGTGCCCCTTCTGGACCTCGTAAGTCCGCAATCGCGGCGAATGTGTTCATGCAGAGAGACGCGTCACCGTCCCGCGCGCACAACCGTGCAAGGCACTCGCAGAGGTGCAATTCTAGTGAGTCTCTTTTGCGGTCGTTGGTGTTGTTATTACAATTGTTGTTGTTGTTGTTGTTGTTGGTGGTGGTGGTGATGCGTTTGAGGGGAAATAGGGTGGTGCCCCCGTGGCGAATGAGAACGTACAGTAGCAGGGAGGGCGACGGCTGGTGGAATAGGTCTGCGAGGTACAGTGATAGCATCTCCACGTCACACAGCACCTCTGCCACACGTGTGGTTGCAAGCAACGTTGGCGTGGACAGCATGCACATGGCAAGAAAGATTATGCACAGGCGATGGTAGTCCTGTTCCTCGTCACAGAAGTGCAGGAATGCATCAAACGCGGCCTGCGTCAGCTGCAAGCGCCCCGCATACGCATGCTTCACGAGGTCACCGCAATACATCAGTCGCTCCTTCGTGGATAGTGGCGGTCCACTATCCCGCTCCGCCACCTCACCGGGTCGGCCGCACATAACCTCGATCAAGTCGCTCAAGAATGCTCCAAGCCGCAGCTCCGACACGGGGTCGCTCGGCGGCGCGTTGCGGCCGCTCAGCAGCTCTGTCTGAACGAACCCTACAATGCTGCGCAACGGTGCGCGGCTCTTCAGCAGAGCCTGTCCGTAGTACACAACAATTGACCCACTCACCGGGCCATCGTCAGAGACACGGTACAGCACCTGCCCGAAAAGCTCCACCAGCGACCGCTCCAGTGGCGCCGGTCGCTGACGCGCTACCTTATCGAGTTCGCAGCACAGTGACGACCACACACTTGCCGGCACTGCGCCGTTTGTAACCAAGGGTGCCAGTGTGAAAACGAGACGAGCGGCCCGCTCCGGTTGCTCCTTGAGCCCCTCCACAATGTGAAGGAGGGTGCAAATGGAGAGTGCAGGTGAATCCATCATGAGATCCTCCACTAGGTCCGCAACCACTTCTGTGCGTCGTAGCTGCTTCAGGCGCAAGAGCGCTTGGTGAACAGCAGCCAGACATGGTGTGACGCCAAGCCGTCTGTCGAGGGCAAAACGCGCTTGTATCTCTTCCGCACCACGCGGCTTCTCAAACCAGCGGAAAGTTTCCAACCGGCGGCGCGCCACATCAATAGGGTCGCGCAAGACGCGCAGAAGCGGACGCACCACCGTTTCTCGTTCGTTGCCTAACGCTTCAAGGCGGCGGCGCTTGTGCACACAGAAACTATTGGGCAGTGCTGTTTGCCACGCCGCCTCACGTGCAGCGTTGTTATCTACCGGGTCCGTGAAGGCGCGGTACCGCACCAAGCACGGCAGATGAGAGGCGCTCGGCTCCTCCAACAAGAGAAGGTTCGACAACTCTTCACCGACATTCCATTCTTCGTTCATCCGTCTTTCTTTGGTCGCCCCTTAAGCGATCCCTTCACAGCACGCAACCCAAAGGCAAATGAAAACAAGCAAGGAAGTCCACCAGAGAGCGCAGCAAAGGAGGAAATGGCAAAATCATCTTATTGCCTGCACCAAAGCCTCCACTTCAGAGAAACAAAAAAAATCACGAAACGGAATTTGATGATTTGCATAACTGAACAACAGCAAGGGTGTTGGGGGTAATAGGGAACAGGGCCAGAGCGGAGGGGGGGCCCGATATATAGCAGCAACAACAACTACACGAAGTACAAAAAGGGCCCCATTTCGACGCCTGTAGACGAGAGAGCAAGAGAGACAGAGAGCGTGGTGGAGATGTGATGGGAGTTGTGGGTTTTGCGCGAATCAACGAAGAAAAAACAAACGAGAGAGCGAGAAAGAACCAAACAGAAAAAAAGACTAAGAAAACACAACCAAACCCCTCCACGAAACACACACACACACACACACCCAAGAACAAGTCTTCAGAGTCGACGATCCCCCACGACTGAAAGCACCACCAGTGGCCGAGGGTTGCAGCCACCAGTTTGTATTGGACAGGGAGGGTATGGCGGCACACCTTCCCTAACAGCTACGTGAGGCCGGCGGACGGCACGCGGCGTGGAACAAAAGAGAAGCGTTCCCTCAACTGGTGCATGCCCGCCTCACGCCCTTGTCACCAAATGCACACAGAAGTAAAACAAAATACCGGGGGAAGATACTTTTTTCATTATATTTTCCTCTTCCTTCTTTAAATTTTTTTTTTCTTTCCGCCTTTGCCCCTTCCCCCGCAAAAGGGAAGTGCAACAAAGAGCGCCCACACCAAAGCGTCCTCACAGCTCCACACCCCACGCACCATCCGCTCCACCTACACCCTGCGCTCCCGGACTCCAGATACGAAATATACACACTGAGAGAACATAAAAGAGGCGGTATAGCGCCCTCATTCATTTCAGGAACAAAAAACAAATGCACAAAATATTTATTAAACGAGAATACAAATGGTACCATACAGTACCCTTTTTTTTTTCTTTGTATCAGATGCAAGTCAAAAAGGGTGCGAGAAAGAAGGATGTGACTACAAAACATGAAAATCGCGTGACAGAGATGGTAGGTGTACTTGGGAAAGTAGAAATTGCGGTTCCTTTACACGTGCACTTCCCCCTCTTACAGTTTCACACACTCGAATCTATGCCTGTTCCATTTATTCAATTACTGTCTTTGTTTTGTTTTGATTCTGTTTCACCCACCGTTTCACGTTGTACGGGCAGCAAGTGGATGAAGTTGCACATGTATAATACACACATTCACACACGCATACACACACAGCAGCTGCAAGCAACGCACATCCGTTTTCGAATACAAAGTGGAAAGCGTGCGGCTCTTCCCCCTTACCCCCGCCACTAGAGCAGCCACCACACAACACCCTTGGAGGGAGAGGAACTAGTCGTGCCGAATTCGCATCTCCCACATTACCGAATTCCTTGTCTGGAGTGTCCTTCTCTCCCACTCTCTCTTGTCTTCCGTGCTTTGGCACTCACGAGAATGCACGTCGTTGCGCCCGTTCCAATGCAGCGCGCTGAAGCATCAACTTGATGTCTACATTTGGAGATCCCGCAAGGTACGGCAGCGGCGCCGGCCCGTTGGAGGGTCTATGAAAGAAAGGGTTCAGACATGACGTTACTACACCCGACTCCTGCTGGCCGCGCTTACGCACCCGGTGCTCCACAGTGCGTTGACATGAGCCGCTGTTCTCGTTGGTGTCTGTTGGCAGTGGGCCTGCGCCCCCTATCGCCTGGGGAGCCGGATAAGGTCGGCTAAACGAATTACCAGAGGGAAATGCTGCCGCTCCCACGTCCAGGGCCATGCGAGACGCACCCGGTACCGGTGAGGCACGCCGCACACTGCTAACACCGGCCAACGGCGCGTGAAGCGAGCCACGTTGCGATGGCCTGGCCACTGGGGCCACTTGCAGGGGCACCGAGAGAGAGATGCGCGTCCTCTGCCGCACGTCGGCTGGGGAATAAGGAGAATTGTAGCCTCCATTGATGTTTTTATACATGAGCTGTACCTGCTGCGACCGCCTCGGCCCCTGCAATGCGGCGAAACCCACTGGCTCCCTTGATGACCGTTGCGGGGGCATTGAATATGGCTGATAGTGGGTTTGTGGTGTGTGTATAGGCGGGGTGAGCGACAGTGAGTTATTGCGGCACTCAAGAGAGCGTTTGGGGCTCAACACTGGTGGTGTAGTAGATGGCGCGAAGGGTTTATCCATCGGTGACACTAAAGCTGGCATCGGTGGCGAAGGGGCACCCGCACCCTTTGATGCCGATGCCGATGCCGATGCTGATGCTGATGCTGCTGCTGCTGCCGCCGCTGCTGCTGCTGCTGTTGTTGTTGTTGTTGTTGTTGTTGTTGGTGCTGGTGGTTGTAGCGATGGTGGTGCTGTCGTTGTTGTTGGTGGTGGTGCTGTTGTTGTTGCTGGTGTATCAGACTTTCTCAGTGCGGCGATGGCAGGCGGCAATAAATTCTGCCGGAGCAGCGCCTCAATATAACCCTTTTGCATCACATCCGATAGCATCCATTCTCGCAGCCGACGCTGCATGATTGGCAACTCGAGGAGCTCCTCAAGCTTGATGCGCTGCGCCGGATCCTTCGTCAGGAGACGCGGGATAATGTTTCGCATTTCCACTGTGTATAACTGCGGAATAGGATCGTACTGCACCTTGAGGATACGCTGCATCAGTCCCTTCATACTGCTTGCGTTGAAAGGATGCCTCAGCGTCAGCAGCTCGTAGATCACCACTCCCAACGCCCACACATCACTCCTATGGTCGTACGGCCGTTCCAAAATGAGCTCCGGCGAGAGGTAATATGGCGTTCCCACAAATGTCTTCGCCTGGTCGTATGTGCCGCTAAGTGACCGTGCAATGCCAAAGTCACCAAGTTTCAGGATGTTCTGGCTTGTCAAGAATATGTTCTGGCTCTTGACGTCACGGTGAAGGATCTTGCGCTGGTGGATATAAGAGAGGCTAAGTGCTAACTGGATGGTCCAGTCAAGCACCTGCGTCTCGCGGAAGTTAACGCCGTACGTCTTCTTGATGCGTGTGCTTAAATCCCCACTATCAGCGTATTCCATAACAATACAAAGATGATCGGACCTCTTGGAGAGAAAGCTGTCTACATAGTTAATGATGTTGGGGTGACGCAGTGATCCAAGCAAATGGGCCTCATTCAAACTCTGCTGCCGATCCTTTTTACTCAACTTAGTAAGATCGATCTGTTTGATTACATAGTACTTGCCGTCCTCGTTGTTGCGGGCGAGGGCACAGGAGCCCATATTGCCCTTTCCAACGTTACGCACCTTCGTGAATTTCTCCATTTTCCTCCGCTTGCTCCCGCGCTTCACGTCGGCGAGACGATACAGAAGTGTCGAGCGTACCCAAGCCTGTCAACGTTCACGGGGGAGAGCGGAGAAGCAGGACAAAAATGGGAGCGGGGCAGCGAGGACTCTTCAATTGCGCAAGAGAACGGCACACTCCCGCCACACTTCTACTAGCGATCTCCCTAAACACGCACGCACACACGCACGCAAGCGTTCTCTTGTATCTAGAAATTATGATATTAGAAACGTGGCGAAGGGAGAGGCACATGTAGGAAAGGGAGAGAACAATTGGACACAAGAAGACACATGCAGTTTTTTTTGGTTATTTTCTTGTAAGCGGACGGGATGGGAGCTGGAATCAGCAAAGCTGAAGACGCACATCAGTCGGTACTACACGCCTGTTCCTCCAGTGAGAGTAGGTCCTAGGAGACACACACGCACACACAATAGCGAGAACAAAAACAAATGAAGGAAATACTTTCGGTTTCCTTTGCTACTAGACTCTCCCGCAGGTGACACGAAGAAATAAAAAAAAAAAAACGGGTCGCGATGAGGTGAAAAAGGAAAAAAAAAATCTTTCAGAAGGGATTTTTTTTTTTCATTTCCTCTGCGGACGGATTCCCCAACTACAATGGCATCGCTCCTCCCCCCATTCCGCCATTCATTCACTCGCACCCATTCCAGGCCCTCATTCTCTTTTTTTTTTTCCAATCACTTCACAGTGGCACCTAGTTCAGAAGCAACTGCATCAGGGCAAGTGTCACAAAGGCCGGGGCCATCCACATACAGTGCGTATGGAGAACCAGCCAGTACGCCATGAACGCCCAGCCAGCCACGTGCGCACAGTTGTGGCCGTTGTAGCCAAGTGTCGCGTACCCGCAAGCCCATAACATCAGACACACAGACATGATACCCGTCATGACACGGTTCACTACCGAGACCGTTGACTGCTCCGTGGCTATCCAGTGGCGCATAAACATCTTGCCAGGCACTACCGCAGAGACTGTACGCCGATCCTGCTGCAGCTCCAACGCCTCCTCCTCCTCCGGGGTCAACTTGCGCGTGAAGCAGCCGGAGAAGTCGTGTTTCGTCTGTGTGTGGTGGCTGTGACGCAGAGCCCCACTGAGTGCTGGCAGTGTGCACAATGTGACAATGCGGCTTGCAGGGATAGCTCTACGAAGCATACCTTGGGTGTGTCACTCCGTGTTTCTTATTATTGGGTATCTCTATTTGCACACAAAACCAATAAAAGGGCCGATAAGCAGAGAGCCGCTCAGAACAGGGACGAGCGGGCCCCAGCAAGAAGTGTGAAGGCAGGGCACTTCGCCACACACACACACACAGAGAACGGCATGGTGATAGAGTTTCAAGAGAGAGACATGTGTGATTCAACGGCAAATTTGTGAACACCGATCTGTTGTTGACCATTGGCTCATTTGCACTATTTTTTTTTTTCCTCTTTGCGTTAGCTTCGCCTCACACCGGTACTCACATAGCCCAAGTGCGGCTTCCGGGGACAATACATGTTCGCGCACATACACAGGGGGAGAGAAAGGAAAATGCACGGGTGCGTGGTCCGAGAGCCCCTGCCCTCCACACGCCCACACACCAACAAAAAACAAAAACAAAATAAAATAAAGGACAGCCTGTCATCTGCCCAACTTCAGTTAGCTCTGCTGTTTGTCGTTCTTCCCCTATTACGCCACTGCCCTCAGACCCTTTCGGGCAAAGAGGTGCCGGATGAGAAGGACGTGAAACAGAGAGACGAACACAATGACCACCGTCTCCGCAGCGCCGCGCAGAAACACGAGTGTATTGCTCTCCTCGACCTTCTCGCGCAGGCTCCTCTCACGCATACGGAATATCATCTGGTCGGTGTGCATCCCCAACATGAAACTGTCCGTCCAATGCATCAACCTCGTGAGCGGGTCAATACGCTCCTTCCAGCGCTTCAGAGAAGTCACGCCCATGAGCATCTTCACCGATTTGCGGCTGCCGGAGTACGGACGGTTGTCGATGCAGTACGAGTACTCGCCCTGTGTGTGCTTTGTGAAGTACACACGGTCCTCAAGCTCATGTTCCCCCGCATAGGAGACATACACCGTCCTGTTCTTCGGGTCGCGGACATACACGTCGAAGTCGTCGCCGCCCTGCATCACATGATAGTGCAGCATTGCACCTTCGTTCACAGTGACCCCAGTAGAGTACATGCACACCTCCTCCTTGTTAACTTCTATTGTAAGGTCGTGCAAGGTGGATTGCACACGAACACCGTGCACAACACCAAGGCATGTCATCAGCACGACCACAAGCGGCAGGCGGAACGAAAACGACTGAAGGTAGTTCATCTTTCGTTTCATCATTCACCTGAGCTTGCGCTGCTGCCTTCAACCACGCACTACATACAGTAAAGCAAAAGCAAATGATGATCGAGGGATGAAGAAAACAGCACATCGATTTTTTTTTTTAAGAAAAGGGCGAGGAGGAAGAGCAGAGATATGTAAAAGTGTACGACCTCTGCGGGGCCTGAGGAAAGAAGAACAAGCGCTTGGCGCTGCACATCACATGCACACACATGCACACACAAGGCCTAGACATGAAGAGTGCTACAAAAATGCTGTACATCTGGCGTTCAGCAGACGTCATCCACACCAACACCAACATCAACACAGTTCAAATAATATGTATATATATATATATATAGATATAGATATATCATGCACATATCCGCTGACCTCCTCTCCCCGTCTACACGGTGCTCGTACGCACGCGGTGTTTGTCGGCGACAAAGCGCGGGTGGCACACATCCATGCAGCAGTCGTTCTCGTGATCGCTGGGAGGGGGTGAAGTCGGTCCACGCCCCTCCGCGATGGCTGAACGCACCAGCTCGCGCTGCTGCTCCACATGCGAGAGGCCCAAGTTGTCCGCTGGTCGAGTGATCGGCAGCTGCGACCAGTCGATGCTGCCGTCCCACTCAACGGCGTCGAGGCAGCAGCGCAGCGTCGGGAAGCGGCACACCTCCGCGCGCAGCGTCGCCACCGGCACGGTGTACGCCGGCGTTAGATCCTCCACCGCGAGCCGCACCTCCCCGCAGAGCGCCGCCACCTCAGGCACCTCCGTGCCGAAAATGTGCACAAGTGCGCGGAGCATCACTTCGACGTCCGCGACGGCGACGACGCTGTCGTCAAGCACGCACTCGCGCAGCATGCGCCGGAAGTGCACAGCCGCCAGCACCTCCGAGGGGGCAAAGAGGAGGCTAGCACTATCGAGAAGTGCCTTGAAGTCCAGCGAGCCCTGTCCACGCCAGTCGAAGAAGCGGAACAGGTACTCCACGTCGTCTTTCCACAGCGTGCGCTCTTCGAAGATGCAGCTGAGAAGGAAGAACAGATCCCGAGAGGTCACTTCACGCATTCCTAGAAGTCGTCCCTCGCTCTCTAAACGCTGCAGCACCTCCTCGCGTCCCAGCTTGAGCAGGCGCGACACAATGCTGTTATGCTGCAGCAGCAGGCTCGAGAAAAGGCGTGGTGGCAGCTCTACCACTGCTCGTGGCGGCTGTGGCACCGGAGGAAGCAGCGAATCCTCCTCCACTGGCGTTTCCGGACGGCTTACCCGCGACACCTCGCCCGTGTCGTCCTCGCTGCACAAAGAGGAGTCTAGACACCTTCTGCTCGGCACCTTGGAGCCTCGGCGCTGCAGGCGCCGCAGACTCTTCTCGAACGATTGGAGATCCCGAGAAGTATCGGCCGCTTCCTCAAATGCGGGTTTCATAAGCGAATTCAGCGTAGGCATAAACTCCTTTTTCCCACTGGGTGTCGTCCGCAGCGGTTGGAAAGTGGTGCTGGGAGAGACAAGCACCTCTGCGGCGCAAGATCCACGGCAGTTGTGCAGCCGCCTCTGCTGGGGCTGCCGTTCCACGCTGCGGTACGGCGGCTTTGGGGATTCATGCATCACGGAGCCCACCGTCCGCATCGGCCAGAGGGAGGCGGACAATGACATATCTTATCCCAGTGGGTCGCCTAAAACACCTCAAGTTCCTCCACGCAAACAAAACAACAAAAAGAAATGCAGCGGCATTCATATCGATTCAGTCGCTTTCAAAAGCCCAAGCGGCAAGGGGCGACGCACGGACACAAGGGAGGAAAGAAATGGGGGGGAAAAAATAATAGTAATAATAACACCGAAAGTCTTGACTTTTAAAATCCGCCTGCCACAGATTTGGTTGAACTAAGCTCAAGTAGCGCACTCGTTGCTTCGTGGCTTAGTTTCTCACGAAGAGACTAGGAAAAAAACAAAGAATTCAACACGCCATACTCACCTTTGGATGCCTCTCTGTTCTCATTCTTTCTTTTTTTTTTCTTTTTCGTTCCTGTTTCTGTGGAGGGTTTCATCCGTTCTCTCTCTCTCTCTCGGGTTCTTTCTTAACGGTCTCTCGTCGGTTAAGCAGCAAAGAGCCAATGCCGGGGGTCATTTAGACTTTGAGAGCACCTTCTCCGCCTGGCGCAGCGCCTGCGAGAGTTTCTTCCCCTCGGCGCTCGACAGCACCGCCTTGGACGCGGGGCACCCCTGCAGCAGAACGCTCGTGACAGCCGCCTTGAGATCAGCGGGGTGCAGCGCACCCGATTGCGCATCACCGCGGAGCTGCGCCGCCTCGCTGTACGTCATGTTGCCCCCGTTCGCCTCCGCCCGCTCCACAAGCAGCGTCCCGCGCTCGCGCAAAATCCACACGGCGACGGAAAGAACCGGGTTCTCCGCCTCGTTCGGCGCACAGTACGCCTTCTTGACCTTGCGCCGCACGTCCATGTCGGTGTCATCGAGGTATAGTACGTCGTCGGCACTGGAGACCGTAGCCTCTGGGCGGTGCAGCGGCGGCACGATGCCCTCCTCAGTGGAAATGGCGGTGACGCTGCCAGCAAAGAAGTCTTTAACAATCTCGTGGAAGCCGCGATCCTGTGAAGTGGTGATTATGTGTGTCGCCTTCAACGTAACGGTGTCCGCCACGTACATGAGCGCAGCGACCAGCTGACCGGCATTCTTGAGCTCTCCACACACCTCTTCCACCTCCCTCAGCTGCTTGCGGCGGCCCACGTTAATGGCGGTGACCCAGTAGTCATTCCTGTTCTCAAGGATGAGCTGACTCTGTCGCACCACACGCACTCTTTCCTTTGGCAACCAATGTGCCTGCAAAAGAGACAGATTCAACTCAAGCGCGGCGTTGATGGCCTTCTCCTCACCAGTGATGTTGCCGCATGCCAGCGATGTCCACTCCGGGAGCAGCAACACTGCCTCACCTTGCGGGTTCTCCTGCAGAAACACCTTGATCGCACTGCAAATGGCGACAGCCACATCCACAGGCATTTTGATGACGGCCGGCAGCCACGCAACGGCCAGTGGCGTGGTCGACTGTTTTGGTTGCGCCGCAGCTGCAGTCGATGACGGCGCTGGCGGGCCCCCACCATTACTGCTGCTTCGGAAAGACTTCACTTGAGCAAGCAGATCGGCGGCGTGGAGATCGTTCTTGAAGTGCATCCGCACCGGTTCCAGCAGGCCGTTCACGCTGTCGATAAGAAGCCTCTTCAGGTCCGTTTCGGAAAGCGCACCGTCCACGAAGGCCGTCTCCAGATCTTCGTACGTTGTGTACGTCGTATCACCCAAAGTCACAGAGCTGGCGGAGTGAGAGAAGATGATATGCCTGAAGTAGTCCAGTACAGGATTCTTTTCCTCGCTTACAACTGGCGCACCATCATCCTTGACTTCCGATTCCTTCTGCTTGATGCGCGGGCAGTACGCGTTCGTAATTTTCCGCTCCACATCCTCCTTACTGTCCTCCATAAATATAGCACTGTCCGGATCACTCTTACTCATCTTAGCCTGGCCCTCCTTCAGCCCCGCAAGCATGTGGTGGGAAAGGATGATAGGCTTCAGCTTGCGCCCAACAAGGTCGCAGTACTCCCGTGCCAGCATGTTGACCTTGCGCTGGTCTACACCGAGCTGGCAAATGTCAGTCTTCAAAAAGAAGATATCGGCGCACTGCATAAGCGGGTAAAGCATCTGGGCCGCCGTCAATGTTCCCTCCTGCTTGCCCATGATGGTGCAGCACTTCTTGATACGGGCAATAGTGTTGCGACGACCAATATCCAGCACAATTTTCCAGTACGACTCCGCATGATTTGTGATCTCATCACTGCTCCAGAGGAAGCTCACCTTCTCCATGTCCATACCGGCCGCCTTCCAGACCTCAATCAGGTACTCGCCAACGATGCGGATCCTCTCCAGCTCACCGCCAACCTTGTCGTTCATCAGGGCGAACCAATCCGCCACCCAAAAGACAAACTCGCAGCCGCTCTTGGTGCACTTGTTGACGTTCACAGCCTTGAAGATGCCTTGCGCGATGTGCATGCGACCTGATGGCTCAAAGCCGTCGTAGCAGCGGATGTTTGGCTTTTTCGAGACGAGGTTCATGAGCTCATTCTCCTGAATACACTCCTCACCAACGCTGCGAATAAGCGCGTAGCGGCTCTCAACCGTCATCTCTTCCGTGTTCGCGGATGTCATTCGCAAGGGCACCGCAGATTTAAGTGGAGACAAGAAAAATCTTCTTGAATTCGCGCAGCAACGTTCCACGTTCGGCTGCCAGAACGCGGCCAGTCGCTTCGTTTGATCTTTTTCTTTCGGTGCTTCCCTTATTTTATACAGAGACACACATACATACGATGTTATGGAGGGTACAAGAGAGCAAAAAGCAAAACAAGCAAGTTGGGGGACGTGTAGACCTGCAGGCGAAAAGGAGACAGTTAAAGAGGGAGTTCGGCCCCAAACCTCAGCAATCGCAGTGAAAACAAACACAGTTAGCAACGACGAAGCAATGCATACGCGTATGTGCAGGCGCCAGCAGGTTTATTCACAAGGCCCACCCAGGTTCATGAATATATATATATAGATATATTCTTCCATCCACAGGACTCACTAAAAGGGTTTCGCACCTCTACTTTTACTTTTACTCCCTTCCTCCCTCCGTTACACCCTCTGCTTGGGTGTGTGGAGTCGTTACATCCGAGCGCCACGTCAGGAACAGCACGCCGGCTGCATAGTCACTTTGCCATTCATCGATGGCGAATGGTGGCGGCACCTCAAACCTCATTTGAAAGTCACCAGAAGGAAAAGTGTCAACTAGCACCTTGAATGCACCCGTCGGCTCCAAACCCCCGGCACTGGCGCTATCTGTGGAGGAAAGGCCAGCATCCTGAGGATCGGTAAGCACCGAAGGGAGGCCGGTGATGTTGCCATTCCAGCACCCACCCACTACAATCTCCCGTGGGCGCTCTGCTGTGGCGACGGAGTCAACGAACACCGTTGACATGGTGGCGCCGGGAAGCTGCAGCATTATGGCGAAGTGACGCCGTGGAACATGCACAATTTTGGCGGGCGGCACGTAGCCGCGCTCACCCACCGAAAGAGCTTGCAGCGTTGTCTCCTTCGGCGCGTACAGCGCTGTATCATTCTCATCAGCATTGCCGTCTTGCGCCGCATCATGCGAGGTTGTCGTCAAAAAGCGGAGAAAACACGCAAATGCGGCACGCGTCACCTCCAGCGTTCTCTGCCGCAGCTCATTGGTGCCGCTGAGCGCCTCGCCATTGCCGCCGCCCACCACAATCACTGAAAATTCCTTCAGTACCTGCAAGAGAGACTGCATGAACTTTTCCAGCTTCTTCTGCCGCCACTGTGTGAGCGATAGTCGTGAAGGTGGTGACGAGAAGGATTTCTGCAGCTGTAGCTTCGCGAGGCGCACGAGACCCACCTTCCTCATCGCCACGTCTAGCTCAAAGAACTCTGAAAAGCGTTTCAGCACACTCCACCGGTGGCTCGTGGTGCGCACCAGCACTTGGTACCACGTCACTCTATTGCGCGCCGTGTCCAGCGCTGTCATGGAATGTGGAATTTTGATGGTAACAATATCAACTGCGCTCATAGGCAAGCTTGACCCGGCCACAGGCAGCGGAACGTCAAAGATGTAGCCACAGGGTGCCTGGGCGCCACCCGTGTCGCTTTCCTCACCAAACATGTCGCCATCCTTCCGCAGTGATGACCACTTGGACATTAACGGCACTGCTCCACCCTCCGAGCCTTGTATGACCCCTTCCCAGCAAGTAGAGAGAAAGAAAGAAAAAGAGGAGGAGACGGCATTAGTAAATATACATATTTCTCTCTCTCTCTCGATATATATATATATATATATATGCATGGATATATAGAAAAAGATGTGTGGGTGTGGGCATGCGTGCTGATGTATACGCATGATACGAGAAAGGGGAAGAAAGACTCCGTGCCTATCGGCCTGCCGCTGCCGCCGACGCCAGCAACAACGGCATCACCAACACCAGAAGGAACTGACAAAAATAGGAATTGAACCGTGAAATGATCGTCGAGACGCAGCCCCAACACATGACGCACAAGAAACAAAGAATGTGATAGGGGATATATATAAATATATATTTGCTGTTGTTTCCTTCCCTTCTTTCATTTCCTTTACCTCGGTTGTGAGTAATATTCTTTCATGATCCCCCGCACCTCCTTGTCGTCAATTCCTCCTTTCAGGTCTCCACAGAGACACGCATGTCCACTCAAAGCACACATCCTCAACACTTATTTCTCTCCATCAGCCAAAGCGGAAGAAGAACTGCTGATGTCCGCCGCCCTGGCCGAATGGGTTGCCCTGGCCGAAGGGATCACCGTGGAATGTGAACGGGTGGCCGTAAAAAGGGTGCCCGCCACCCTGTTGCCCAGCCGGCTTCGTTGGGTCCTCGCCACTGTCATAACGGCCGCGCTTCTCATCGTCCAGCAGGATCTCCTTCGCCTCATTGATGTCGCGAAACCGTTCATCGGCCTTCTGCCGCTCCTTCTGCGATAACTTCTGGGAGCGGAGCTTGTCAGGGTGCAATGTCTTGGCGAGATGGCGGTATGCTCGACGAATCTCCGTTGCACTTGCCGTCTTCTTCACGCCTAGAATCTTGTAGTAGTCCTTCCGTGCACCAGCGCGCTTGAGGTTTTCTATCTTTTGCATATACTCGCGCACATGTGCGTGATTCGGCTGCAGCCGTTGTGCGTGCCGCAGCTGCTCCTCCGCCCTGTTCAGGTCATCCTCCATCAAATAGAGCTCCACCTTCTGCAGGTGCACGTCAAATGCGGCGGGGTTTTCTTCACCGAGGCGCTGCATCACCGTGTCGCACACTCTGAGGCCTGTCTCGGTGTCGCGCAAGCCCACCGCCGCATCACATCGCCAGCGCAGCAGCTGGTCCTTATACGGGGGGTCCTCCTCCAACTTCTCCGCTGCATCAATCTGCTTCAGTGCATTTTGGAACTCCTTCGCCTCTAGCGCTTTGGTGACACCACTTGTCACGCGTATTTGTTCCCGCACCAACTTGTGCAGGTGAGCACACGCCGCGTACTCGGGGTCAAGCGAGAGGCAGCGCCGCAGTTCGGCACGTGCCTGATCGAGCGCACCCAACGCACGGAACGCGCGGGCACCGAGCGCCACCGCCCCCAAGTTCTGCGGCTCCTTTTGCACAACATATTTGAGCTCCTCGGAGGCTGCCAGGTTGTCACCACACGCCAAGGCACACTCTGCACGCTGCAGCCGCAGCTCCACGTTATCCTTGGCAAACTCGCGTATCATGTCGTGTAGCACCACCACACACGTCTCGTATTCGCTGTGCGTCACGGTACCGGACGAATGCCTCGCCGCGTCAAGCTTTTTCCGTAGCGGCAACCACGTGGATGCATAGTCACGCAGCTTTTGCAGTTTCCCCTCATACTCCGCTACCTTGGATGACTTCTTCATTGTTTTATACACAGAAATAAGGCTCTCCACGTCACGAATTGACTCCTGCAGGTGTCCTCCCTGCGCATGGAGCGAGGAACGCAGCGCCAACCCGCGGTGGTGTTTGCCGTCCAGCTGGAGCAGCCGGTCCAAGTCCTGCATGCACGCCTCCCTCTGGCGCATCATGGACAAGAGTTCGGCGCGGCTGTAGAGCCCACGAATGCTATTAGGGTTATGCGCGAGTGCCTCTGTGTACTTTGCTAGCGCCTCCTGGTAGTGGCTGCGTCCCTGGCGCAGCTCCGCGTCGCCGAGAAGCAGCAACTTCTTCGTCCCATCATCATCGGGGGTGCTGCTGGAGACGCCGCTGCCAGGCGCAATAATGACGATGGCAAGCAGCGTGAACAGGAGCAGTCGCAATTGGTGACAGTGCGGCCGGGGGCGCCCCTGCATCAACTGATAGAATTCGGTTTTGCTGTACGCGCTTTGCCTCAAGGCGATTCGCATATTCTCCTCGAGTACACTTTTTTTTTNCAACTGATAGAATTCGGTTTTGCTGTACGCGCTTTGCCTCAAGGCGATTCGCATATTCTCCTCGAGTACACTTTTTTTTTTCTTTTGTTATTTCCACCTTATATTTCTCTTGTGGTCTGACTTTTACTCTTGCGGTCCACGCGAGCCGTCAAAGACCTTATCCGATCGGCGGGCAGGAGCATGGGGCGTGCAAGACGCAGCAGCACGTGGAACGAAAGAAAGAAAGAAGGAAACATATAGAGGAAGTGAAAGACACGCAGGCACACACAAAGAGAAAGAAAGCAAGAAAGAGAGAGTAAGGGATAAGCAAAGAGCCACACGTAATCAAAAATGCAGGCACGATTCCCTGGAAAGGGGGTGCCCCTTCGCACAGTGGGTCCGAGAGGAGAAGGAGGAGGACGAAATATCCGGATGCGTCCTTCGTTTCCCAGAGAGACATCCACGTCCCGCCGTCTAGTTGCGGTCCGCAGACATAACCGTTTAGTCCTTCCCTGCTACGCTGTGTAGCTCCCNCCCCCCCCCCCCCCAGCCCCTCAACTCTGTGCCTTGGCTTTGCTGTCCTCTGCTTCCGTACCTCGTTCCGTCTTGCGTTAATACCTCGATTCAAAAGAAGGCCAATACTAGTCTCGCTCAGTTATATCAGGACCACTAAAAAAAGGCAGCGCTTACTCCGCACCGCAAACCCTTTTGGAAAACAAGCAAGTCAAGACATGAGTACAAAAAAAAACAGATATCGTCCACTTTCAAACAAAAAAGGGAAAAAAGAAGCCATCGTCACCAGCGGCAGAGAGAGCTACACCGCGGCTGGAATGCCATTCTTGTATTTGAGCGTGCCGGCATCGATGCCAGGGATGTACAGCGATGACGCGAGTCCCTCCACCTCCGCCCGCAGCTGCCTCGCCTCGTCGCTGCAGTGAATGGCGTCCACGAAGTCCTTGATCTTTGGGCCCGCCTTCTGCTGCAGCGCAACGCACAGCTTCGCCGCACGGTCGAGCAGGTCGGCAACGACCTCCATGTTGTCTTCCGTCATACCGCGCGTCGTCAGCGCGCATGTGCCGAGACGCACGCCGCCCGGCGCCAACGCACTTTTGTCGCCGGGGATCGCGTTTTTGTTCGCGCTGATGGACACAAAGTCGAGCAGCTTCTCCACCTTGTTGCCGGTGAGGCCGAGCTCACGCACATTCCACAGCAGCAAGTGGTTCTCCGTGGTGCCCGACACGAGGCGGTGGCCGCGTGAGATCATCGCGGCGGCGAGCCGCTGTGCGTTCTTCACGACCTGCTGCGCGTATCCCTTCCACGCCGGCTCGCAGACCTCCTTCATCTGCGTGGCGATGGCGGCGATTTGGTGCATGTGCGGCCCACCCTGCAAGCCAGGGAATACTGCCTGGTTGATGCGGCTCTCAAAGTCCGTGGCGTTGCCGCTGCGGTCCTTCTTGCGGAAGAAGATCATGCCAGCGCGCGGGCCGCGCAGCGACTTGTGCGTTGTTGTCGTCACAATATCAGCGTACGGGAACGGTGACTGCAGTACACCGCCGGCAATAAGGCCGGCAGTGTGCGCCATGTCCATGAAGAGCAGGCAGCCGAGGTGGTCGCAGAGCGCACGCACGCGCGCGTAGTCGAGGTCGTGGGCGTACGCCGAGGCGCCGATGATAATCATCGCCGGGCGAAACACTTCGCTGATCTGCTCCAGATGCGAGTAGTCGATGATGCCATTTGCATCCACCTTGTACGGGAACGACTCGAAGTAGATTGACGTCGCACTGATCTTCTTCTTGGCGGTATAGAAGCCGTGCGTGAGGTGGCCGCCGGACGGGAGGTCGAGGCCCATGATGCGGCTGTGTGGCTGCAGCAGTCCAGTGTACACCGCGAAGTTCGCCGGCGACCCGCTGTACGGCTGCACGTTGACGCCCCACTCGTCGGCGTCGAGGCGGAAGGCCGCCAGCGCGCGCGTCTTGGCCAAGCTCTCGACCATGTCCGCGTATTCCGTGCCGCCGTAGTAGCGGTTGCCGCATTCGCCCTCCGCGTACTTGTTCGTCAGGCAAGAGCCGAGGCACTCCATCACCGCGCGCGAGGTGAGGTTCTCCGACGCGATGAGCTCGAGGCTACGAAACTGGCGTGCCTTTTCCTTCTCTATGATGTCGGCGAGCTCCGGGTCGTGTTCGATAAGAGCCTTGGACATTCTTGTTTCTCTCCCGGCTTCTCGAAATATATGTATATATATATATATTTGTATGTATATATATATATATGCTTAAATATAAATATGCCTCGCAGCCTGTGTGGGTGACCTACGCTACACAATAGGAAGAGAAAGCAAGACGACGGTAAGACAGGCGAGCACCGGAAGAAAGTCACGCCCTTCTTGCACCTGCGAAACTACAAATATGAGCAGGCAACCTCTTGTGTTGTTGTTGTTGTTGTTTTGCAACTATTGGTTTTGCAGTGGAGTGCACGGCATTAGGAATTGCACAACGGCTCACCCTCCGCTGGCCCGAGCGCCCCAGCGTCGAACAGCTGAGTCGGGAAGAAGCAGACATCCCAATTGGGGAAGTGCTGCTGCAGGGACTCCAGCGCCATGAAACCGTTGGCCACAGTGTCAAAGCGCACCAGCACGCGCACCGCCTCTTGTGCGAGACGAGCATCGATGTCAGCAGCACCGGTATCCAGCAGTCGAGCCCTAATGGCCCTTCGCCCCTCGTCGCTGAGTAGCACGTGCCGCATGGAACGCACCACACCACAGCGTCCGCAATGGTCTTGGATGCTCTCCAGGAACGCATTACGCACCGCGCCTCCGCCGCTGTTGCTGTTGTCGTCATCGAACACCTCTGGTGGAGGGCCATCACGCACAAAACGAATAAGGATTGTCGAGCTCGGCTTTCCGCGCATCGACCGTCGCTTGTCAGCAGCGCCGCGGTCCTCCTTCACGACGTAGCCACCCGCCGCGAGGTCAGCCCGCTTGAAGACAAGTGGGGCACTGCTGACCGGAGCTGAGGGTGGCAGCACCTCGCTGGCAGCTACACCCCCATCACCAAGACTCCTTGTGTCGTCACTATTGGCGGTAGTGCTGTTTTCATTGCTGTTAGCATTCGCGTCATTGCTCTTGTCGTCATTGTTATTGTTGGTCTTCGAGACGGCCACCTCCATCAGTTTCCCCAACTTCTGCCCTATGCGACCCTTGCGGTCCATGCCCGCGGCAACGCGCGCCTTGTACTCCGCCTCGAGCTCGTCGCGCGCCAGCTTCACCGCGGTAGTAATGCCCAGAGCGGCGCTTTGTCGTACGCGGCGCTGGTGCAGTTCCTCTGCGCTGAGGCTCAGTGGCAACACGTCTACGCCGCCACCACTCGCACCACCCGAAAGGGCGTCAGGTTGTGAGTCAGGTGCAACAAAAGTGGAGCCAACAGGCAGCGTCAATTCGGGCAGCGCAAACGGCGACGGACTCGCGCCAGCGGCAGCCGCCAGCGCACGTGCAACGTCGTTGGCCAACTCCCCCTCGCGTGCACGCTTCCAGCGGGTGACCTTGATATCGCGGTAGCTGTTTGGCGACGCCGGGTCGTACATGGTCCTACCTGCTCACACGCTCTACTGCTCAGAGGCAGTCAGGCGGAGACGCACAGAGAGAAAGAAATGGGCGAGAGAAGCATGCAGGCGCCGCGTGTGCGCGGTTGAAAGCAACAATAGGGTGCCGGCGGCGTCGGCGGCAAGAGCATCATGTGGCGAGAGGATGCCGGAATGTAGTGTATGATAGATGGCACTGATAACTTATGCCTGCCACTTCACTAATATTGTGTGGTTTTGTCCTTCTATTTCCTCGTCGCTTCTATTCGCCCGCACTTCTCATTTTTTTTTTCTTTTCTTCTTTTTTTTTTTTTTTNTTTTTTTTTTTGGTTCCCGTCGGCCGCTCCACGCACCGTTCAGGCGGCGGCACGCGAGTGGGAACGAGTGAGGCACGGCGTTGGCAAAACAGAGCGACGCCCACGCAGCGCTTGGGGGACAAAAAAGAAGACAAAGGCCAAGAGTGTTAGAGCCCTGTTCTCAATTATTTTCTTTTCGCTTTTTTTCTTTCGTTGCACCAACTCCCCTTTTTACGTTTGTTGTTGTTTTGTGTTCTTTCTTTCCCTCTCGATTCGCATTTCGCCGCCTTTCCCTGCTGGGCAGTGCGACATGATGAGTCGAGCCGCCCCGCAGTGAAATGACGTCCCGGCCGCCTCCGTTTGTTGCGGTCAGCGGCGGCTGCCCACCCACCCACACACACAAACACACACACACACACGTACAGATACACAAGTATACAGACATACAGGTATGCAGACATATAGAGGTATATAAATATGTATATAAATATATACAAATATAAATATATGTGTATACACCTCGAGAGGGAGAGAGAACGCCTGATTGGTATTTGCGCGCAGCCGCACCAGCAGCAGCGCACGCCGTAAAACACACACACACAGAGACGAGCACCACGCACTTCAACAGTAGAAACAAACCAAAAAACTTGGAATCAAACAAAGAACACAACAAGGAAAACAGACAAGTCACGCTAGGCTAAAGCAACGCTGAAGGGATGGTTTCAGATACAGCAAGGCAACAGAAACGCTGTAGTCGGCACAAAGACACACACCCACACATACACAGTAAACGCAGGCACTAGCAGAAGCACACAAAGTGCAGCACCCAATGTGCCTACGTCTACAGACAATTTATATGCACACACCTCGCCATATGTGTCTGTCTGTGTGTATGTGTGGGTGGGTGTGGGTGTGCATCATCGATACTTGTCACTGAACGCCGTGGGCTCCCATATCACACAACCCCAAGGCTTGCACCTCTTTTGTAGGTTTTTTTTTTTGCTTCTTCACAATTGTTTTCGTTCACGCTCTCATTTTGTCGTTTTCTTCAGTCGCCGCCCCCCCCCC